AAACGAATTTTGAATGAGTGAATCTAAATTATGTATGGTGAAGACAAGAAATTGCTTTCGATTTATTTTAGATTGAAAAAAAGAAGGAAAAGTCTCTTTTACTTAACAATGGCTTTAGCGATGCCAATTATAGGTTCGTAATTACGTATAAGGTTTTTGTGGACAAAAAGCGAAGAATGTACTTGGAAAAATTGCATAATCCAACAAAAACTGACAGAGTTTACTATGGGAGTTGTTGAAATTAAGATAGGATCGCTTTCATTAGGTAATATAGTCTTCAGAATGATTGCTAAAAGCGGGATTTATATCATCGATGTAGTAACGACTACTTGTAAAAATATTAGGTATGCACATGTTAGCAATCCCGTTTTTAGCAATCATTCTAAAAATTATATTATCTAATAAAAGCGATCCTATCCTATTTTCAACAACTCCTATAGAAAAATTTTTCATTTTTTGCTTAATTATGCAATTTTTCCAAGCACATTCTTCACTTCAATCATTCTGATGTTAATGACCATAAAAGTTTAGAATAAAATTACCTACTTTAATTTTTTATAATTACGAAATTGTAATATACGGAAAAAATTTAATCAGTCTATAACATTTAATCTTGTGTTTATTAAGTAGTATTCAGGATTTTTGTTTTTTTTTTTTTTTTTTGTAGCAAGCATTGGAGATGAAATTTCTTTGAGATGTACAAATGTGATTTGAATGTCAAATTGATTAAAAAAATTTCGTAAAAACGCGTTTTTAATAACTACTTTATTTTTTAATGAACTGATGTTTTTTTCCTATATATTCAAACGCGAATAAAATTAATTATGTATAATTGTTATTCTCTACTAGAGAAGAAGAGAGTTAGATACAACGTTTATATCGAGAAAACGCGTATCAAAGTTAGACTACTTTTGAGTTTTGCTGACATGAATTTGCAGAAGCTTCGTTTTATTCGTATTTTAAAAATATATTTCCCTGTAAGCAAGTGTCTTATTTTATAAAAAGTCAGTAAAGTATTTGGTACCATTTAACACAAAAACATGACAGCTCAGCTGTCACGTATTAAACAAAAAATAATCTGGCGCTATATTTTTGATAACAATGGCAAGTTTAGTTTTAATTGAGATTTTTTTACTACCTTTTTCATTGTATTTTCAAGCTGTCGAAGATATCTGATGTTACAAAGTATTAGTTTAAATGGTACAAAATTGTTAATGGATAATAATAACACATATAATCTGAATATTATTTTCTGCAACGGACGAAATATATAATTTTTTACTGTTTATATTTATTGTATCAAAAGAGTGTATTAATGCTACCGATTTAATTAAAAAGAACTTTGACTTCATTGAATAATTTATCGATTGTCAATATGTAATGTTTGAAAATTATCCGCCCTTGCCATTTCCTGTATATGTTAAGCTTCTGACTTTAAAATCATGTAACGGACTTTGATGAGGTTTTGGGTCATTCCATATTCAACTTTTGAATAAATTTCTTAATTACGTTCACTGTTACCTAGGAAATTTCTTGAAAGGTTTATCGCCCCTTCATTCAAGCCCTAAATGATATGTCAAAATGAAACCATGAAGTATCTAATTATTATCGGGGCTTCATTATGACGTTTGTCATTTTTCAAATCCCTATAATAAAGGTCTGCTAGTATCGTATATTCAGGGCTTTATTTTGACAAATTAATGAAAGCTTGAACTTGTGACGGACAGCCGAGCGTTGCCTGATAAATATAACGACACACTTATATCATCTGTGACAGGCTAACTGTCCCTTAAATGGAGGGTAAAATAAGTACCATATTAATTACTATGATTAAATATATTTTTTTTTACAGTAAAAATAACTAAATCTTAACCATTCGTTACTGTAACGAATAGTTTAACGAACTAATGAATCCGGCGAAATGCCGTTAAAATCATTACAAATCAAAATTGCGTTACACTTCATAATACAATAAAACTGTTTCATCAAAATGGAACAAAAAAGTCGGTGACAACTTGGAAATCGAACGGCCACGACCCTTGCGTAAATAAAAGACGAATTGAAAGCATTACGTCATCATCAACCCATTGGTTTCCCCATTGGTGCATAGTCATTCCCTTTAGGACAGGATTCATGTGATATGGGCGCGGGCCTTCTCTATGAATTTTAACCGAACTGAATAGAAGAAGTCCAACTTTATTAGACCTTAAGGCCAAGGGTCGAAACGAATATCAACCGATTATCACGTTTTTTTCAGTCAGACGATGCTTTAATATTTTACACCTTTGCCTACGTTTTCTTGTGGGAAAACATTCTACCTTTTATATAAAAATAAAAAATAGCTTTGGATGGAATAAAGTAAGTGTGGGCCATTTCAATGCAGCTTGATGGATGTTAATTACTGCAGATACAGCTGAATTTAAACATATTCATTGTTAAAAACAATAAATCATTTTTTTAGCCACCACTTTGGGAATGGCCTGTAATAGGGTCAAATGGCCTGTAATAGGTGAACCTGGGACATAATACACAGTAACATCATGACGTGGCCACCGAGGACAAAGTATTAGTAATATCGATTTGAATATTAACAATTGTGAATAATATAATGATAGCCATAAACGGATAGTGATACATAGATCACTATCGCCATCACTGCGTCTTGTGGTTGAATTCAAAGTGAATTATTTTTGCCTGTTTTAATATATTGTTGGTAAAATATCACATAGAGAGATATACTTACTTAAATAATAATTATATACACAAAGTTAACTTCAAATTTAAAATACACGTGTAATTATAAAACATTATTTATTAAGCCCTATTAAGTCAAGCACTAGACTCCAAAAGCCAATTAGTTATTGAAAAGTCGAGTGTAAGACTTTTCAATAACTAATTGGCTTTTGGAGTATTATAGATACATAGACTATAGAGTCGATCGACTAGAATTTAAATGAGAATTTGATTATAGTATTCTAACTATTAGCTGTACTTATTTTATTAAAATTCTTGTTTATTTGGTAAATATATCTGCTTAAGATATAGCATATTCTTAAGTTTTTGCTTCTCTCACTGTATGACTATATGAGTGTTATTGTACTGTTTTTATAGGAAGTCCCAATAATGTGGATATCTAAAATATAAAACTTTTAAATAGAAACATCATGTATAAGGCCTCTGACTATAAAGGTAATACGAATTAGTTGTCATAGCATTTTTTACAGATGATTTCTATTTCAAAAACAAACATTTAAGCAATAATTATTTAATACATTAGCACAACAAGACGATAGACTACAACAACATAGTTTTTGTAAATAATGTCACTGTTTCTTGTATACATTTTATCATTAAAATGGCAGGAAATCAAATGGAGTTTTTATGTTAATATTAAGTTTAATTATTAAAAATTAACATATTCTAACATAATATTCGACGAACAAAAAACTTTTTCGGTTTCATCAAATATTAAAAGTACACAAAAAATTATTAATGTAATTATATTAAAATTAATACTTCATTATTTTTACTGGTAAACAAAAAGTTGATGTAATTTTTATCTTACAGAGTATAACATAAAGTCGCTTCCAACGTCTGTAAGGTCTTCTAATTGATTTCGTTAATACACAACGAATTTTAATGAGGTTTTCAATGTCATCGGTAAACTTTTGCATAACTATTAAAATTATTAAAAAACTAGTTGTTTCCCTTGGATTTGCCCGCATAAATTATAACCTAGTTATGGCACCCGTGTATGCCATAACTAGGTTATAATATGTATGCAGTTTGTCGTAGATGAAAGATTTTTTAAAATCATTCCCTTAGTTTCGGAGCCAATTCGATCCAAACAAACACTTTCCTCTTTATAATATTACTATATGTAGATAGTGAAGAAACGTTTTTTTTTATCTGAAACCGAATTTGAAATCGAAATATGGTACTGAATATTTTAAAGACTATAAAGAAAATTAGCAATATCCTTTTGAAGACGGGCGAGAATTATAGCGCCATGCTTCTGCCGTTTTTGAAGTCGGCATTCTTATTTTTACTTTTTAAAGGGAATGTCCATCCCGGTCATAAAAAGGCTTACAACGAACTGCCGCAGCCTCATGTCATGACTCATCTTTCATTGTTTGAAGTATCGAAGTTACAAGTTAGGGATCAATAAACGAAGCTGAAAACCATACACCGATTAAATATTATTGAGGAACTCGATGGCGCAGTAGGTAGCGTGCTCGATCTGCAATACGGTTGTTAAGAAACGCAATTGCTAGCCAAAATTTAGTACTTCGACCTCCTCCGTGCTTCAATCAAAGTTGTTGGACCCGGCTGTATCTGCAATCGTTAATATCTATAAATCCGCGTGGTGGGTCATGGCCCATCCTCCCTATTCGATTTGATTCGATTCAGGGTTTGTACGCTGTGGTACCTCGGTGGCGTAGTGGATAAGCGCCGCGCAATCCGCATTGGGCAAGCGTGGAGGGTCATGGCCCATCCTCCTTAACCATCCATAAGGAAGGCCTGAGCCCCTGCAGTGAGGACGTAAAAGGGCTGATGATGTGAGGGTTTGTACTCCAGTATTAGGGACATAAATAACCTGGTGATGATGTTTAGACTTTATTTCTGAGTTAATAAAGCGTACGGGGTGAAATAAAATTCGCCTAACTGTTACATTTTATTTCATATATTGACACAGGTCACATTATACTCTTATATTTATCTAAACCTATTTACATATTTTCCCGTGGGAACTACAAAAGAAAAGTACCTAATACACAAAAATCATTTCGATGTTAACGTTCTACTCACTTTTTGTTTAACGAATCAGAATTTTTTATGTCTATCTTAAAGAAAACTATCAATAAGGCACTGTAAATGCAAAATTTTCATGCACAGAGTAGGCAGATATTAAATTTTAATGTAACTAATTTCTATCTCAGTCTTCTTCATCTTAAATCCCTCACGGGTTTTTATAATGTTTAAATAGGTACGTCATTCATTTCCCTGACATTCTAAAACCCTTTCAATTCATCCAATTCTTTTCCGGTTTTTATGACTTTACTTTTATGACCTATAATTGCCTGTTTGTTTTTAATTTATATTTGTTATTTTGTATTGTTAGTTGTTGGTCGTCTGTGAACATAAATAAATACAGAATTTTTCCCTCAATACACCGGACACACTTAACCAGGGTTTACCACGACTCATTCACAAGGTAGTGAGTCACAAAAACTACTAAAACTATATAAAAAACGTTAAGCGAGTGCCGTTCGCTACATATTATCCTTCAAGACCGCCTGTTAAAAAGTGAAACCTCATTTTAACAAAAACCCGCATCATTGTCGAAAAAGTGTTAGCTCATCTGTGACGATTCTTTTTAGTTAGTGATCTCGGTGCTACGAAGCAAGACCACTGTGATGGGTCTCAAATTAGTAGGATTGTATATTGTAGTAAGTACATCATATTACATAAGTGAAAAAGTGTCAAATGTATAATTTATTGAAAACAAGCCAAGAACATTGTGATACGTTTAAAATTATAGGTCTCTGTATTTTTTTAATAGTGACAAAAGTGTCAAATATATATTTTTTTATTTCAAAATAAAACATAGACCAGTATAACCATTAATAATAGGCCTGTATTTGTAGTGAAAAGTGTTGAATACTTCATTCACTTAATAAAACAAAACAAAGGAGTCTTAAATTAAATAGGATCGTATAACTGTCGTAAGTACACTGTACATAAGTAATAAAACTTTCAAATTATTAATTTGTTAAAATGGCAACAAATTGTTTTATAATCGATTAGTAAGTATGATTTAAAAAATATAGTATTAAAAAACATATTGGATATAAAATAACTATTTTTTGCAATTCTAACTATACTGTAAACAACATGAATAACAAATACATATATATTTTTAAATTATCTTTCAATAAAAGACTACCTTTAATTAATAATTTAAAATTCGCGCAAATAAAAATTATTAACAAGAAAAAAGAGCACTACTTAAACCCTAATAGAATTCACATATGTCGTAAAATTATTTTTTAGATATTTGATTAATTAAATATTGTGAATCGCATCTTCTAGGCAGCATTTCTACATGACAATTAAAAGGAAAGCCTTTTAAGCCTTTTTTTTCTTTTTAATAATTTTTATTTGCGCGACTGCTCAAAAAAGGAGTGTATTATGTTAGGATGTACACGTTAATGTACGAGTATGTGTACATGTATGTATGTAAGTTTATTTATTTCACCATAACTTTCAAAAGAATAATCGGATATAAATGATATCATTAATAACCTTAAATTATCTTGAATAACACTGACTATATTATTTTTTTTTAATATTTAATATGACATTATATTATGTTATTTAAAATATAAAAGAAATAGATTTCTTCAATTATTACAATGTGGGTATCAAATTAAAAGTCTTGATTTGTACATTCCATTGTTTTTATTTCGTTTTTTTATAATGTGTTTAATGAAATCGTTATATTTAATGAATTATAAATTTTTAAATGTACACACTGGAACAGATCCCTTGATAACATAATCATGACTTTTGATCAGATGGACAGATAGATAGACGAACTTAATTAATATAATATAAGTTAATCATTAAAAATATTTTTTATATTTAAATTTGTTCTTATTATAAAACTAAAATCTATTCCTTTCATTCACACTTTTGCTTTAGGAAGGTCACGTTTAAGCAATTAATTAATAGGCAGATACAAGGCTTTCTAATATGTTTTTTTGTTTTAACTTGACACCGATATGTATACTGAGTCAACCCGGAAATCCTGTGATCTATGTTATGTTTATATTTCACGGCGGGCTTTTCCGCAACTTGACACTCGGTGCCTTTTTTGCTTGAATCGGGGTTGCATCAGTCCTGGCACCCCAGCTCCTCCAAGAAGCCGATAAGTTCTCGAACTTTGCTGCATGCCTCCAGTAGTGTCCTTGGACTACCTAGATGTATATTCCTTTGTTTTAAAATGCTTCTGCATTCCAGTAGGACACGAGCGCTTGTCTCGAGTCTATGCATGCCCTGCACAGAAGACTGTCATAAAAACCCATGTTATAAAGGTCTATTTGCCTTAGAGTTTGTCTTGTTAATTTGTTCAACTTTACTACTTTGGCTTACCCGCAGTCTGCAGTTTGTGCCCAGTATTTATCAGGTTGACGAAAACAACGTTCTCTCACCCAGTTTTTGAGCTGTTGAAATGGGATGAGTATAATGGGTTCCGGTCCGATGGGCTTTCTGTGACCTATATTGATACGTTTTAATATTACATCATCAAAACTAGTCTCAAACTGATAGTTCAAACCAAAGAAATTCTCTTAATTAAAAAAATGTTAGGTATATGTATAGTTGATACTTGTAAAAGCTCGATATTTGGTAAATAACAAAATTTTCCTGTAAAATCTGTTCTGTAATCGTTGTTCGTTTCGTACATATACCATCATGCACTAGGTAAATCTTAGGTTTTACCTCAGGGATACGCTAAATGTTGATAAACAATTCCAAATACACATCTCAGGGATGTAGAGGAATTATGCCTGGGTAGAAAAAAAATCTATTAAGTCTGTCAGTCACATAGAAAAATATTAGATTCGTATTTTTTTGCTTCAATTAAACAAAAAGTTGATTAAATAAAATACATTATAGTTGAGGAGTGAGGCTCGCTAGGTCATAACTATTTAGAAAACGTACAAAGCGTGAGACATGCAACAAAAAATAGGTATATAATTTTTCTTCAGTTATCTATCTGACAAATAGATAGTCAAAAATTAGTTATAATCCCTCTGTTGGATAGATTAAGTTAGTATGACAATAAAAAAAATATATAATGACTTTATTAAATATTACGTATATTATAAACCTTTCAGTATAAGCGATTAAAGTTAGGTTTCAATTTTACTAACCGTATATAAAACTTTTGATGATAGGTGATTGAAATTATCTATTTTTTTACCAACCGTAATTCGTTGAACTTTGTGCTACACTCTAATGAACGCCCGAAAAATTGTATTTTTTTATAAAATCCTTATATTTTACCAACATAAATATGTAAATATGTAAATATTCAAATTCAAATTCAAATTCAAATTCAAATTCAAATTCAAATTCAAATTCAAATTCAAATTCAAATTCAAATTCAAATTCAAATTCAAATTCAAATTCAAATTCAAATTCAAATTCAAATTCAAATTCAAATTCAAATTCAAATTCAAATTCAAATTCAAATTCAAATTCAAATTCAAATTCAAATTCAAATTCAAATTCAAATTCAAATTCAAATTCAAATTCAAATTCAAATTCAAATTCAAATTCAAATTCAAATTCAAATTCAAATTCAAATTCAAATTCAAATTCAAATTCAAATCAAATTCAAATTCAAATTCAAATTCAAATTCAAATTCAAATTCAAATTCAAATTCAAATTCAAATTCAAATTCAAATTCAAATTCAAATTCAAATTCAAATTCAAATTCAAATTCAAATTCAAATTCAAATTCAAATTCAAATTCAAATTCAAATTCAAATTCAAATTCAAATTCAAATTCAAATTCAAATTCAAATTCAAATTCAAATTCAAATTCAAATTCAAATTCAAATTCAAATTCAAATTCAAATTCAAATTCAAATTCAAATTCAAATTCAAATTCAAATTCAAATTCAAATTCAAATTCAAATTCAAATTCAAATTCAAATTCAAATTCAAATTCAAATTCAAATTCAAATTCAAATTCAAATTCAAATTCAAATTCAAATTCAAATTCAAATTCAAATTCAAATTCAAATTCAAATTCAAATTCAAATTCAAATTCAAATTCAAATTCAAATTCAAATTCAAATTCAAATTCAAATTCAAATTCAAATTCAAATTCAAATTCAAATTCAAATTCAAATTCAAATTCAAATTCAAATTCAAATTCAAATTCAAATTCAAATTCAAATTCAAATTCAAATTCAAATTCAAATTCAAATTCAAATTCAAATTCAAATTCAAATTCAAATTCAAATTCAAATTCAAATTCAAATTCAAATTCAAATTCAAATTCAAATTCAAATTCAAATTCAAATTCAAATTCAAATTCAAATTCAAATTCAAATTCAAATTCAAATCAAATTCAAATTCAAATTCAAATTCAAATTCAAATTCAAATTCAAATTCAAATTCAAATTCAAATTCAAATTCAAATTCAAATTCAAATTCAAATTCAAATTCAAATTCAAATTCAAATTCAAATTCAAATTCAAATTCAAATTCAAATTCAAATTCAAATTCAAATTCAAATTCAAATTCAAATTCAAATTCAAATTCAAATTCAAATTCAAATTCAAATTCAAATTCAAATTCAAATTCAAATTCAAATTCAAATTCAAATTCAAATTCAAATTCAAATTCAAATTCAAATTCAAATTCAAATTCAAATTCAAATTCAAATTCAAATTCAAATTCAAATTCAAATTCAAATTCAAATTCAAATTCAAATTCAAATTCAAATTCAAATTCAAATTCAAATTCAAATTCAAATTCAAATTCAAATTCAAATTCAAATTCAAATTCAAATTCAAATTCAAATTCAAATTCAAATTCAAATTCAAATTCAAATTCAAATTCAAATTCAAATTCAAATTCAAATTCAAATTCAAATTCAAATTCAAATTCAAATTCAAATTCAAATTCAAATTCAAATTCAAATTCAAATTCAAATTCAAATTCAAATTCAAATTCAAATTCAAATTCAAATTCAAATTCAAATTCAAATTCAAATTCAAATTCAAATTCAAATTCAAATTCAAATTCAAATTCAAATTCAAATTCAAATTCAAATTCAAATTCAAATTCAAATTCAAATTCAAATTCAAATTCAAATTCAAATTCAAATTCAAATTCAAATTCAAATTCAAATTCAAATTCAAATTCAAATTCAAATTCAAATTCAAATTCAAATTCAAATTCAAATTCAAATTCAAATTCAAATTCAAATTCAAATTCAAATTCAAATTCAAATTCAAATTCAAATTCAAATTCAAATTCAAATTCAAATTCAAATTCAAATTCAAATTCAAATTCAAATTCAAATTCAAATTCAAATTCAAATTCAAATTCAAATTCAAATTCAAATTCAAATTCAAATTCAAATTCAAATTCAAATTCAAATTCAAATTCAAATTCAAATTCAAATTCAAATTCAAATTCAAATTCAAATTCAAATTCAAATTCAAATTCAAATTCAAATTCAAATTCAAATTCAAATTCAAATTCAAATTCAAATTCAAATTCAAATTCAAATTCAAATTCAAATTCAAATTCAAATTCAAATTCAAATTCAAATTCAAATTCAAATTCAAATTCAAATTCAAATTCAAATTCAAATTCAAATTCAAATTCAAATTCAAATTCAAATTCAAATTCAAATTCAAATTCAAATTCAAATTCAAATTCAAATTCAAATTCAAATTCAAATTCAAATTCAAATTCAAATTCAAATTCAAATTCAAATTCAAATTCAAATTCAAATTCAAATTCAAATTCAAATTCAAATTCAAATTCAAATTCAAATTCAAATTCAAATTCAAATTCAAATTCAAATTCAAATTCAAATTCAAATTCAAATTCAAATTCAAATTCAAATTCAAATTCAAATTCAAATTCAAATTCAAATTCAAATTCAAATTCAAATTCAAATTCAAATTCAAATTCAAATTCAAATTCAAATTCAAATTCAAATTCAAATTCAAATTCAAATTCAAATTCAAATTCAAATTCAAATTCAAATTCAAATTCAAATTCAAATTCAAATTCAAATTCAAATTCAAATTCAAATTCAAATTCAAATTCAAATTCAAATTCAAATTCAAATTCAAATTCAAATTCAAATTCAAATTCAAATTCAAATTCAAATTCAAATTCAAATTCAAATTCAAATTCAAATTCAAATTCAAATTCAAATTCAAATTCAAATTCAAATTCAAATCGGCGCATGCACATAGGACACTAAAATATAATAATTTATCACATTAATACATATTACAATAAACATTAGATTAAACGTACAATTACAAGCAATAAGATATTTAACATTATTCAACATTTAAATAATAAAATAAATAATATTGTGTCCCACGACTGCACCAAATGGATATCTAGCTCGGCATTTGTCAGTCTGTTTACTTTCCAGAAACAGACCGACGCCGATTTTCAGCTAGATCAGAAGTTACTAGTAAATACGAAAATTTACTAGTAACATCTAAGATTCACCAAATAACGGACATTTACATTATTATATAAAGAAGAGATTTTCCCCAAATTATTATGTTAATGCAGAATTGATGATTTATATTGTGTAGTACATAAAGATAAAGTAAGTTAATAGAAATTATATTTTATATTCGTTAACATTTCGCAAAACATCTATCAGCTATTTTAATAGGTATATTATATTTATAAGACAGATTATTATATTTTGAATAAGAATGATTTAATTCCTTTTTGAATTTCGGTTTGAATCTTCATTTTCAAATAGCAGTTATTTTTCATAATTTTATATAACTATATACATCATCTTGGAACTTCATACTGTAAACTCCTGAATTAATCATTGACTTTTTGCATTATTGGTAAGCAAGGAAAATTGATATATATTTTACCGATCTTACAACATATTTTTTTTTATATTTACTAAGTAATAGTAATAGTGTAAGTAGTATTAATCATTACGTGTATTTAATAAGCTATTATGAATGTCTCAAGACTTTAAGAATTTGATTATTTAACGCCTCAAAGTTTAATACCAGCAATATCTGTTTTTGATAAACAATCGTGATAAACACGTACCGTGCTTCACCGTATTGTTTAGTTGCACCCACACCAATCCATCTTCATTAAGCGATCTCGAATAAAACAAAACATGATCCTAGTTGTATGTCATTATAATTTCGCACCTTAAATTGTATGAGGTACCGTCCACATCAACCGGTGGATCGCGCTCCTGCCGCACGCGATTCTTAGCGCAATAGATTGCTTAGTGTATGTGTCTAATTGGTGTTTTTTAAATGTAAATCTCTTAATCATATTCTTGTTAACATGTTTTTGTACAATATTTTAACAAAAATTAAGTGCGACCCTGCCAGGATTCGAACCTGGAATCTTCTGATCCGTAGTCAGACGCGTTATCCATTGCGCCACAGGGCAGGGCCGCCACATGGGGGGGGGCAAGTGGGTACTGTTGCCCCGGGCCCGGGCCCAGGGGGGCCCAGTCCGGTCCTGTATTTAGTAAATAAAGTATTTTAAAATTTTTAGGCCTATATAAAACAGAGTGTATTACACTTGACGGGCCATGATAAGATTATATTTGATTTAATCATTGTTTTAACTAATTCCTTCAGCCATCTTGTATACAGAGACATTACTTTTTAATCCGTCCATAATATTAAAATAAAGTTAGTTATATTTGTTGATTAATGATTATATAAAATTTAGTCAATCACAATTTCTGCCACAATCGTACTTTTGAGGAATTAGTAAATTGGAACTTCTCTGAATACGCCGTATATTCACCAATAATTGTATTTAAAGTAGTTAAAATAAAAAATTCTATGACTGCTTGGATATAGAATTTTTGTTTCATGCTAATTTATGGCATTTTTATGGTTTGAAGTAATTGGTTAGTATTATGAATACTTGAATTTTCTATCCCTAAGTTACACTTTCTTTTATTTATTTGATTAAAATTAAATTAAATGTAGAATAAAACGTAGTGATGTAAGAGTTCAGTCCCCTCATGTGTTCTTATTCGAACACTGAACCTCGGTAGGAAATATAAATGATTTATTGTTTGGTTAGAAGTAGAGTTAGAGAAGGTTCAATCGTTTTTTTTAACAATTATTATATGGCTATCTATATACTAGAAGTGGCTCTCTAGTAAAAGTGGCGCGACGAAAAAAAAAGGGGGGGGGGGGGCGTCGCCAGAATCTGGTCCCGGGCCGGTTTGTGGCGGCCCTGCCACAGGGCCATTTTAATTATAACCGAAAATATTGTCAAATTTTCTTGGGAACTCTTTGTATTGTTCAATATTTAAATTGTTTGAGAAAAAATATAAAGTCCTGAATTAACATTTTGATTAGGTATTCATTGAAGTAAAAAGACTACAATCTTGTCTTGGTAAGTTGAAGTGTTAGTACAGCACCGTTTTGATTATTATCACTGATTTGGCTTATTTCAGTTGCAAAATTACGGAATATTTTATTTTAAAAAGCTTAAATAAATTGCCTAAACAGACAAATGAAATTTAAATTCCATTATTTTCATAATAAATAAATTGGGATAATTATATCAAACTTCGTCAAATCATCATTAACACAAAACTCATTTTGAAGAAACGCGCTTTGTAAGTTATAAATAATACTATAATCTAGGAAAAACTTAATTATCTTGAAAGGTTTTATCTTAGAAAATGTTTGCTTTGACTAGTAATGGAGTTGGTAATAGAGTTAACTTTCAAATGAACTTTAAAAATACTTTGCCGAAATGTGAATATTCATTTCGAAACAGCAGTTATTTTATCACAGAATTTGATATCATAATTCACATCAGAAAATCATGAATATAAATTATTTCCAGAATACTAAGATAGTCCATTACTTACATTACGTAAATTTTCAGTCAAATGATATCTTCGTTGATATGGTAATGTACAATTCTAAAAAAAACATATCGCACACCTAGATCTAAACTGAGACAACTCAAAAATTTTATTGAGTTTTAACTTCGTACAATATTCAAATTCTCTGTGATCAAACGCATCTATCCAACATAACAGATTCAATAAAGGTTTGGGGATGAGCCGCTAGATAACTTTAGCTTTCTTTTGTTAAATCAACAGTGGTCGTGCTTCTGCCACGTAAACAAATGTATTGTCAGACCTCCACATTCGTTTTTTGAGTTGTCTTAGTTTAGATCTAGGTGTGCGATATATCGCCGTTGAACAAAGAACCTCCTCATTCATGATTTTGAAGTTGGTTAAAAATAAACATTGCTTTTTACATTGGACTTGTAAGAAGTGTTCAAATTTCGTTTCAATACTAGAACAAACACGAACTCGATGACGCTTTCGCGTTTTTTCTCATTGAGGATTGTAAGTTCTTTATGATTGAGGATCTCTAGGAACTTTATGAATGCCCGGTCATAGAATGGGTTATTAAAAATTTTATTTTCTTGACTTCCATGCTTTGGAGAACAAGTTCTTGCTATGTATTCATTTATTCGTACCTAATTCACGTGGTGGGTTATATCCCGTTACTCCTACGTAATTTTATCTATACAGAGTTCTACCCCAGTATTGGGGATGTAATTCGACTTATGTGATGATTCTCAATCTTTAATAATCCCTTTTTCCACTTTCAGATAATATCCACCAGTTTATCATCCGCTTACCATCGATACGGCCACTTCAGACCACGTCAAGTTGACAATGATTACCATTATTCTGATGAAATTGACCACTCTCCGATAGAAGAAGCCAATCGCGCATTTTCAGAAGCGTCTGCATCCGCAGAAGCTTCTTCATCTTCTGACGATGAAGACCATTTTCATGAAGAAATACTAAACCAACCAGACGTAGAAGTGAATGATAACCCTGATAACGAAAGAGCTAACGCACCAATCAACAATGGCTATGAAGTGACCGAACATGTTGATGACATTCCTAATCCTATGACAATAAGACCTATTATAGCAAATTTCTCAACTGCCAGACCTTTAAATTTTGCAGGACCTGCTAGGGCAAATCGGAATAGAGCAAATGGTCGAAACAGGCCAAACAAAAGACGTACTGTTCCTGCTTCCCGTAATAACGTACGGCATACACATGAAGATTTTTACAGTTTCAATGATATATTTCCTGATATACAAGAATCTTTGGCAGGTGTTACGACAAGTATAGCAAAGGGTCTCAATCATATAAAGAAAGAAGTGTTTAAGAAAGTAAATGATATACCTGATACTTTCTTTAATACCTTACATAGAAAAGCCAACGATGTCGTGGATAAAGTAAACGAATATTTTGATTACACTAAAAATGATGTAGATGAGTTTGAAACAAAATCTTTCATTTGAAAGAAACGAATATTTGATCGATTGGAAGTCATTATAAGTACAATATTAATTTAATTACAGTAAATTAGTTTTATAATTAACGTGATGTTTTATTGATATTCTTAAAACGCCTTTGAAATACATTCTGGCCAAAGAATTATTTTACTTTCTACAGCTTGCTCCTAAAAAAAACCTGCATTTTAATCGTCACAAACAGCTGTAGTTATGGTTGTATATAGCTAAGTTCCATAAAATTTGTTTTTAGAATAATATGTTCAATCCACATACATAGTTTAATATATTTCATCAATTTTGAATTCACAATGCTATTCTAAAAAATAGTCTTGATGAAAAATAATTAAAAAATCCACTTGCCCCAGACACTCTGAGATGAGATTCGAACTCACGACCTTTCACAATCCGGGCAACTGCTCTACCCATTGAGTCAGACCCAACAGGACTGACGAATTTTTCAGAGTACCTGGGGCCAGTAGATTTTTAAAACATTTGTCATTAAGAATAAAAATAGTTTATTCTCGGCCAGCACTTTTTGCTTTTGGTTTGAAAATTTTCAGTTTGAATTTTAAAATCTAATTATTCTTTGGAGTTTGACAGTTTCGAATACTGTGATATGTTAAGCTATACACGTAGAATCGAACATGCCACTAATGTTAATTCTTTTGATCCTTTATATATTTCAACAAAAAACCTATTATACTTATGTCCCATGTGTATTGAATAAAAAAGAAGAGAATTAATTTTATTCTGAAACATTTCTTCGAAAAACAATTTGAACTAAATTTATAATCTACCTTTCTCGTAAGATTTCGAAGTTTAATTGGGTAAAACGACGGCTACCATCAAAACTTTTTGCATCAATCATTTCTGGATGTCGCATGGAAAGTTAGTTCACTTTCTGTGTTTATCTTTAACGATATTAGATTATTATCTGTTTTTCTGAAAATAATATTATTATTCGATCTTGCTTCTTTCGTGGTAATTATGAAATCCTGATATCATACTCTTAGATTAGATTGTATGTATAGGTAGTTAAGATACAATTATTATTTCGGGTTTACTTGAGAGTTTTAGCCTGGATACCATAACCAATAGAGGTGCTGTTTTTTATATTTATAATTATCGACTCGAAAGTCTAAAATTTTACCTATTTCAGTTTCAGGTCAATTTTTATAATTGACAACGATTTTTTGTTCGTTAGAAGCATGTAACTAATAGAAGTTTGTGTGTTAAATAAGAACATTTCCAAGCACAGAATCTTACTCGGTAGCTCTAATTCAAAAAATTGTTTAAATTCGGATTTAAGTAAGCAATCCTATATAATGCTTATTGACCAAACACAGGGACTATTTTAAATAAAAAATGACCTTGTATCGACTTATGATTATAATTAAGGTCATATCGCGATAAAGTCAATACAATAATAGATGCCATAATGAAGAAGGTTCATCTTTGCAACGATAAAAGATGATTTTTTATTATTACATATGGTAAACTAAAGCTCAAGTTTTCGAGATGTGAGCTTTACTTTACCCGGCTTTACCCGGAAGACGCAGCGTGGGTCGACCCCCGACTAGATGGACGGATGACATAGTCCTAGTCGCTTGCGGCCGCTGGATGCAGCTGGCGCAATGTCGTCCGTCGTGGCGTTCAAAGGGGGAGGCTTATGTTCAGCTGTGGACATCTTCCGGCTGATGATGATGATGATGATGAGCTTTACTTTAATATAAATTGTTTTTGATTCTAATAAGTTGTGTTTTAAAAATCAGCAGAATAATGCTTCACTGAAAAGAATTATTTGATAAGCTTTCAAAATATCAAAAATATTTTATTATAAATAGAACACTTGTATCGATTTTGTGTTTTCTTTAGATTCTCAAGTTCAAGTATGGTATAAATTTTACCTACTTGAATGCTAATACTGTGCATTGGGCAATGAACCGAATGTTTGTCCTGATTTGTAAAAGTCTAGAGATATTAATACCACCAACGGAATCAAATAAAATGTATATAGTTATTTTCCTGTAAGTTGTTTTTATTTGATATGTAGATTTGTGCAATCAAATGTTTTGTTGCGAGAGTTTACTTCCAAATCTATGGACAAATAATAATTGACTAATTCACACACGGTGCTCGAATCCTACTACTCAACTAAATAATCAAATCAAAGAAAATATTAAAATTGGTTGTTGAAGCGAATAAGGTTTTTATGTAAATACCGTGCCAAAAAAACCTTGTTTTTTGTCACAAACTGAGTCAATTTAAGGAGTAATATTGACCAATTGCGAACCCCTGAGTGTTCGCGTACTTTACTTTGATAATCCCTGATCTAGACAAAGGTGACATTTTGAAACAGGCGTATAAACCTTTCGTTTATAGAAGTATATTTAAAAATATGATACATATTTCAATAAACGGTGTTATCTGCTGTTGTAAGCTATATATAAATTTATATGCTAAATCACTAAAATCACCCGAATCCTTCGATTTTAAATCAAAATAACCCCAAACTGGTTTCTAAGTGGCAGCTCCGTAGCATTCGGGGCAACGTCCGGAGGCTGCGTCAGTGGTAACCGCGCGGCCGTCGCACGCGCACTTCGCGTTATTACGTGCATTTGTGCCGCAAAAAGGTGAGGAAAAAGTTTTGTTACTTTTTTTTTTATTACGGGAAGTGTTCTCTATTCCATATTAAAAACTAAAATACGAATGATATTGGATTATTCTATTATTATTAACAATAAACGTTTTGTTTGACGAAATTCAACACACAGTTAGATTATATTACTTTAATTAGCATATAGGATTCCATAAACATTCCTAAGGATAAAAATAAAAATCCACGTCAGTAACGTTACGGTTAGAAATTTCGTTTATAATATTTTTTGTATGATTGGTTTTGTTTACTTTTTGTTTTTTCTATATATTGCTACAAAAAATAAGGTTATCCAGTTATTCACTCTATTATTTTTTTTATTAAGTTAATCTACAGTTGATACAATAGTACGTACATAGAAATGGAAAAACGAGGGTCTCATTCTAATTGTACAACTTCTTAAAGATAAACACAACCTACATGCATGATGTAGGTTGCTTACTAATTACTCACAAAAATAAAGAAATAGCTGCATGCCATGAGCTATGATCATACAGAATCCATGTTCAACAGTCAAAGTATTTTTACCCTTCCCTCCATGCACTTATGTCAATGGTTTCATACACTATCACTAATACTTCATGCTACTCCCCTCACATAATTTCCTCTGTATGTTTATTATTGTATTGGATTAGATGAAGTAATATAATTGTATCGTTAATATTAATTATTTTTACTAGTAATATGGAAGTGGGCGCTGACTTCTGTCATTCAGGTTATACCTAGCACAGAGGTCAGAGACTTCACATTGCTTTGTTGTATATTTATATGACAATAAAAGTTATTATTATTATTATGATAATATAAACCAATTTTGTTAAATAATATATTGGCTTTTACACGACTGCCTGAAGTGGAGTGTGCTTTGTGTTTAAGTTTAATTTATGTATGTATTAAGTTATTACATCTAATATTGTAATAAGTCAATAATGGAGGATTTATAAATAAAAATAAAAATATTGTGTAATAATATTTATTTTAAACATATTTAAATGAAACATGTCAATATTTAATAATTATATAGTATTTCGTACATCTCTCAAATCTTAAGTAGCTAGAGACGTGTGTGGAAATATGAAACAATGCAGGCGTACCATAACAGCCAGACCCGAGATATTATAGAATAGCTTATTCTCTGCATTGACCTAATGCATATTGAATCCACGATTGAGAGATAGTGACATACATAGACGCGTTTGATTTTAGTTATAAGATTGCATGGATGCAATTTCGTAATAAAAGGTTCAAGTCGTGTGTCGACGTTCAAGGGCATGTTTTGGATGAATAGGGCTGATGCCTGAGTTAAAAAAAAAACTATTTACTCCGTCAGTCCTATAATAGAAAAATATTAAATACGTATTTTTTGTGATTCAATTCAACATGAAATAGCTCAGTGATGGAGTTCGCTACGTCACACATATGTAGAAAATGTACAAGTGTGTGACGTAATGCGCCATTTCAACCCAACGTATCGCCGTAGTTTATTGGTTACGCAAAAAATAATAAATAAGTGTTTTATGTTCTTTACTAATCTATCCGACCGACGGATAGACAGACACAAATTAATCATCATCCATATTATTATGAGTATAAACCAAAAACTTCCCTAAAAAGTATTCCATATAATGCTAAAAATGTATTAAAGCCTGGGTAGCTTTTGAGTTAATCGAATACAAACAAATAGACAGACGGCTGGAAGAAGGGAAGGAAGCAATTTTGAAATTTGTTAGGATGTGCTTTAAGAAAGAGTCACATATTTCACATCACATCCTTACATATTTCTTCTGTCGCATTCACTATTTACTTAAAGCCTATATTAACATTAAAAAGTGCTTGATACTTTCCAAATAATGTATAATGATATCTATTGTGTATCTATAAAATCAAAATTAAATATTTTTCCGGTTATAAATACAGTACTATCTCAGACCACGTCATTTGTATCTACTCATCGTATATAATAAATATATTCAAATACGCAAAAACGAATAATATTAAAGGTAAAAGTTGAATGTCCTGCAGACACAAAGTAAAAAGTAAGAATTGAAATAGACTAATGATATTAATGCGATAGTAATTTTATCTGTTTGTTTAATTATAGCTTATTCGATTAACCGATTTTAGAGCACTTTGGAAGGATTTATCTACCAACGTTTCAGGATCTCCGAGTGTTGGCACTTAGGTATAATCGTTATATTATAATGAAATTAACTTGCACATAGTTTGACATGTAGCAAAATATGTAACCTTCCTTTTTTCCAAAACATACAGTTAAAGAATATTTACTTGCCATGAGAATAAAAAACACTTACTAAGAAAACAATTCAGATTCATCATATTTATTTACAGACAACGTTGTTTGTATGAGTAGTATAAGCTTATTTAGAACTAACCCCAAGTCGAGTCGTTTTTATATCACCTATGAAATATTTGGATTTAATGCGTTATATTTTGGTCTTAAATCTAAGTGTTTGTTTGTTAACTAAACTTGAAATATAAGCAACTAATGGCATATCTTTTAAACTTTCACTAATGCGGCCTTTTTTGTTTGTACTATTACGATGGCGAAGATTTTTTATTTATTTTATCTGTAAATATGCCCTAGTACTAGTGTACTAGTTCTTTTCTCGTATTTTCGCCCACGTTATATCACCCGCGTATGATGTAGTGCCCCGCAGATGAGAGAATTTTAAAATTTTATTCAGTTCGAAGACTATATTATGCAAACAAACAAACTTTACGATATTTTTTCTTTTTAATTTTAATACACACCTAATAACGTTTTAGTTCAGCATTCCCCGAAATGAAAGCAAAATTTATGAAATATAATACTAATATTGTCTCAAACCATTTTAGTTGCAACGGTTCAACAGCATAGCACCCAATATTTTATTTGAACTAAGCTTTGTTACTTATATCTGCCGTAATTTGTGTCTGCCAACTACACCATAAATCATGATGTTTATTATTCTTGTGCCTTTGGAGCCCTAGATTCCTGAACGAGTCCTACAACTATTATAAAATAAGCAATGCTCTGTTTGCCCCACAATTGTCAGCTAAACCGTTATTCGAACTGGTTCTATCTAGTCTAAAGTGAACTGCTGTACCAAACTAGAAGACAATTGTTCCATGTCTAATGCCAACTGGAGCCTACAAATTCGTATTTTCATATTTTCTTCGTTATTTTTATTCAGAGTACAATAAATTCATCAGCAAATGTAATAATACAGCTTCAAATGCGTTGAACCGTCTTCTCTCGTGCCAGAAAAGAGATAGCTAAGTAACCGCAGCTGAAATTGTCATACATTGTCAATAGTTTGGATTATATTAAAATATTTTTCTATATAAAATATTATAAAAAGGAAAGATTTGACCGCCTCTTTGTAGTTAATGGGCACCAAAACTACTGGACCGGAATTAAAAAATATTTCACTCTACATAATACTCGGGAGACATGATCTATAAATTTACATGGACTAAGTCGCGAGAAAACTAGTATTTAATAATAAAAATTATTTATTACTCGTCACAGATGAAATTAATCAATAAACATAAGTTTATATCATGAAAAATAATTACAAGTATAGCAAAGTAATATCTTGCCTAGTTTTTTATCGCCAGGCTACAGTGTATAGAAAGCATCTACATATATATTTAAATGTCACTCTGAAATAAAAAATTTGTCACTCTAAAGTTAATCTACTTCAAAAGCATTTCTTTGTAACACTTATCGAAAAAAAAATGAAAAATTACAAGAATTAGCTTGGATATTGCTGAATATGGTTTAAGTCAGATGTTAAGTTAATTTAGGTAGGTATTTTTTCTTCTATGGCGCCAGTGTGCATGTAAAAGTCTCTTAAACCAATTTCTGTAAGCGAATAGTTTAATTTGCGATGTGTGGGACCGTTTTATTGCCACATTTAGTGGCAGTAAACTTTATGATCCGTGAGGGCTCCAAACTTATCCACTTATACTTAAATTCGGTCTGAAACAAATGTGAAGTATTATTTTTTTATTATTTTCTACTGTCAATAGATGATGCTATTGTTTTATTGTTAGTGTAATTTAATGTTTTTATTTATCTATGTAAATATTTGTTTTTTTATTTGTTTGTTGTGGTTCTCTTCCATTCGTGTAAAATCTTAAGATGTAATATCACTTTCCTGTTTCCCGTTCCTCGGGATTACCGTCTGTAACTGTTAAAATAACAAGAAGCGACATTAGAATATTGTCAATAAAAGCGTTATTTTTATTTTAAGCTATATAATTTTGTAAAACCTGATTTGACCGTATACTAATTCCAAATTTACAATCTGTCATTTTATTCAGAGTTTTTTAATGGTCTTGGTCTAGATCCAGCCAGTCCAGTATACAAGGTGGCAGACACGGTATTAAATAGGTATTGACTTTTTCAGGTACCAAGATGATTCAAAACATTGTCTTGTTGGCAACATTCCTTCAACTAACCAAAGTGACATTGGTAAGTTAGGTCATAAACACACACCGTCATTTAATTTTTTTATTCCTACATAAAAGTTATTAAAACATTTTATCGTCTCTTTTTTTCTTTACTTTTATGTACAATGATATTTCTTTTTTAATTGTAATATTATCGTTTACATGTATCTCTCTATTTTTCAATTCAAAATTTGTTTAATCTTTCTCAATATCTATTAATTCTGGTACATGACGGTGTTTCGGTACATAGGTTGATTATTTAACTAAACGGTGGAATAGATCGATATCTAGGAAACCAAATTCAGCTCAGGGTGTGTGAAATTTAATTAATAAGATAAGACCTGTCGTCTTGTATGAAATTTAGTGCTGGGTGAAAAATCGGACGGATAAAAGTCGATTCACACGCATTTGAGCTACATTAAAATGCCTATGAATGTATATGTAGAGTGAATGACTTGCTTAGAGGAAGTTTGAAAGTAGCGCCAGAGCCGGTGGCAAAAAATTGAGAAGTAGGTACGCAACAGATTATCTGGGTGTAAAGGACATGTGATGAAAAGAGAGAATTTGTATGTAACAAAAAGGATTATGAGTTGATTATGAGCATATATGTGTTCGGGAATGTTAGAAAACTAAGACCTAAGAAAATATGAATAGATTACGTCAAAGATGACATGTCAGAAAGGAGTGAATATTGAAATAACAGCTGAGTGAGAAGCGTAGAAAAAAAATGTGGACCACAAATAAGTAATTGAGAAATTACATCAATGAAAAGAAACAGAAAACATTTGGGAAACAAATATCCGAATTATTTATTTGTAGTCGGTATATTATTCTATTATTTCTTTTATCCCATGGTAAGCAAATGATAAAACATGCTATTCTTTTAATACAATATGTGTACATAGATTATAATATGGTATAACTAACTTTTGCCCGCGCCTTCGTCCGAGTGGTAAAGTTACCTTGAGCAGCATTTCTAACGAATATTTATTTATTCGTTCCATTAGGTACTGATAGGTTCAAAATAATAGTGAGTTTACATCCTCCATCATCCCTTATTTTATCCCCACGGGGAGTAAATTTATCAAAATCCTATTTAAGCGGACGTCTTTATCATAGTAGCTCCAATCTTTAATTTCAGTTCAATCAGTCAAAAATCTAAGAAGATTAGGGGTGAAAATTATCAAAATCCTTTCTGAGGGGATCTCTACGTTATAGTATTTTTATGCATGCAAAGTTGCAGCTCGATTGGCATGAAATTGACTAAGTTTCATACAAACTTTCATCCCCTATTTTATCCCCTTGGGGGTATAATTGATCAAAGTCCTTTCATAGCGGATGTCTACGTCATAACATCTACTTGCATGCCAAATTTCGATCCATCTAGTGGTTTGAGCTGTGCGTTGATAGATCACTATGTCAGTCAGTCACCTTTGAGTTATATATTAGATATATGTATTAAGATATGTTTAAGGTTACTTATAGTTGATTGTGTATCAATAAAATCGTAATAATGATGAAAAACATTAGTGAACATTAGTGTTGCGATAGATTAGATGTTTCCTTTAAAAATAGATTAACTAATGGTTTAAGATTTGGGTCATATTGTTATTTGTAAGTGTCATTTGTTTATGTTGTTTTTATGATGCAATTACATTTAATTTTGTTTCTAAAATATTTGGACTATAAAGCGTGTTAAAATTTATACAAATTAAATGTTAAAAGTTAAAGTTATGATGTCATCTTATCATTGTCAAATGGTACAACTGATTAATTGCTAACCGACACTTTAATATGTTTGTTATTGTTAAAGTTAGTTGGTGAAACGGACATTTAGTTAGAGCATTCCTAAATTTTAACTTATTATTTTAGTGAAAATTGGAAAATATTTACCATTCATCAAAAACAAGGGTTTGTTATGAAAGCACTAACATTTAAAAGTAATATTAATTCGTTATTATCATCCAAACTGAATAAACACGATCCGAAAGGCAGTAAAATCTTCTCCAACAAATTTATTTGAAATACAACTTTGGAGCTGGTAATGAAATCGTAAAATGGAATTATTGCACTCTAATGGATAATATTTTATTTAACTAATAACACTGGCAAAACACCAGCTACGGTTAATGTTCTCTCCCTGGTGTATTTTATGCAGATATGTCGAAGGGAAAAATGACTTTATGAGACTATTCATCACAATATTTAAAAAAATACTACTTATATATAAAAAACAATATTTAATTTGTCTATTGATTCACATGCCGTGTGAAACAAACTTATTAATAATAATTAATCAAAGGCAGGCCAAGCCTTCACCAAAGTTATGCCTGACAGTAAACATACAAAAAGCTAATGATAATTAACTTATTTTACAGGTCCACACCGCGAAACAGCATGTTCAGCTATCCGATTCGTATCTACCAGTGGCGATGCAAGTGATAGCTCATCTCACAGACCAAATGGCATACGAGGTTAAAGATGAGCCACAGCCAACCACTAAACCTCCGAAGGCAACCACTAAAGCGCCTAAGCCGACCATCAAACCCACCAAGGCTCCTTGGAAACCGACAAGTAAACCACAGTATGTCACTTTGATCAACCGTTTTAGAAGCTTCTAGGTCTAACCAAAATCTAATGGATAGTGGATGGGATATGGGACATATAAGTTTTTGTTTCTCGTTTCTTCATTCTTTGCTCATGTTTATTTCTATCTTTATAATAAAGTTTGATTTCTTCTTTGTCTTCATCATCTATACATAGTCTAAAGCAGTCTCTTCCAGCTGTCAATACGCTGAGATCATTTTATCTTTACACCGGATGTTAATCAGATTTTCATCAAGATATAAAGTGATTCAAAAGGAAGGTTTATACTCGTATCTACAAGTAATACAGAAGCCGCAAACGGAAAGCTCGTAACTAGTAATTATTCAACTGAATAATAGTGTATCTATATTATTTCTTTAAATCACTATTGTAATAGAAATAGCTTAGATGTACCTTTTGATTATATTTTTATTGTTCTTTATACTACGTGCAATATATACTTTTCAAATAAGGTAAGGAGTTATTATATATCTGCTTAGTTCTTTTATTTTTATTGTATAAGTCACAGTTCTGTGGTATAAGTATATAATAAATATTAACCTAAATTATTTATTTATTTATCACTAAGATAAAGATTTAACATATTATTGTTATTTACAAAGACTTACCACATAGACAGCAAAATAACACAATCAACATACGTTACCGTCGGTCATTCGAGTATAGCCTCGTCTATTTCGATTTTGAAGAAGAAAAGAGTTTTTAATATCATTAAACAGTTAAATTATTATTATTAACACAAAATAATAATAAACAATAATTTCAGGCTAGATATCACAACGCCACATCATAATCCTGGTTTGTACGCTCCATTCGCACCGCCAAAACAAAACGAAAGACAAATAGCCAAAACCCAATTTGTGCTACTTCCATTGGAAAGTAATTCTGAATACACCGTGATTCAACCGCCAGAACGGAAGACTGAAGAACCATTACTTTCCATACACAATGAAGAAGTTAAACCTTTGATGGAGCCAAGTCCTGAAGAAATGCCATTGCTTCCACCGCACTTCGATGCTGATAAAATATCGAGATCTGATATTTTGAACATTGACGAGGATTTAAATGACGATGGGTTACAGTATTTATCGCATACAGTTAGGGAAATGATAAGAATGGCGAATGATGATAATGATGAGAGGGTAGTGGATGTATGGGAAGGGCTAAGATCAGGACCGGAGCCAACACAGAAGGTGAAACTGTCAGGTTCGAATCTGAGGCTTCTGCTGTTGTATGATTTATTAAGCAGGGAGGCGAAGAGACAACGTCTCTCAGACTATGGTGTAAGTATAAACTATCGTAACTTACACAATTCGTATAATTCTTACCGAGTTAAATAGTTCAGGAATACAGTGATTGTATTTTTTATTGCATCTAATTGAAAGAACTTTCCTTTCCTATGGATGCAATAAAAAATAGGGAGAATGATATGACACATTAAGAGGGCCCAGTACGAATTATTAAGCACTAGCGACTGCAGATGCATCGGAAACCAATAGCTTGACATACATTGTAAAGCACGGAGAAGCTTGAAATTACTTTTGGTCACCCAGCCAATGATCTTTACTAAAGTTGTTTAAACGTCCGCATCGAGGAACCTTATGTCAAGTAACTTTCTGAATTCAATCACTGGTTAATTAAATGATATACGTTATCGATACTATCTTGAATTCAACTCAACTCTTATATTTTTTTAATAATGTACTTACATATGTTCTAAAATTTCTTTTGTCAATATTTTTAACCTCAATCACTTTCACCTGCTTATAAATTCTTGTCATTCTGTAGAACATTTGCATGAAGAGTTGTCACTCATTGCGAAATGTGTCGTCTGTTTTTAACTGTAGTTTGTTTCACGTATGGTAATTTGTTAATAATACATTATGTTGTGCTCAATTAGTGATATAATGTAATTTTGAATGCACAACTGAGTAATATGGAACTTTAGACGGAGGATGAAGGAGAGGTGTTGATAACAAGAGAGAATAGTACAAAGGTAAATGGCTTATTTCCAGTAAGAGATGTGTGTTGTGTATATTGTAGTAATTTTGTAAATAATATGAAATCTAAAAGATTTTATTACAAAAACATCTCAATATGATACGTCTCAAATCCCTTTAATTAGTGAGTTTATAAAATAGACCAAATTTAAAAAATATGTTATATTTATAAATTAGGTCTATTTTTACTATATATATTATACTTATATATTTATACCTCATACAAGTATGAAAACATGTCATTGACGAGAAGCCCAAAAATATATTATCTCGAGCTCCTGCCTGCTTCGGAAGCCACGTAAAGCCGTTGGTCCCAGATGCATCTGCCGTCGTTAATACCCTCCATTCCACATAAGGCCCTCGTGATATGTTCACATGATTATACTTTTGCCATCTGTTCTATGTTACATATGTTGACATTAAATGATTGAGTATTAAGTAATGGATCTTGGCTAATTCACCAAATTAGATTCAAAGGGAAACTGGTGCCCCTGCAGTGGAGATTTAATTGACTGATAATGAATAATTTATGATAAATCTTATAATTTATGATGTTAAAGGAAAAAAATATGATCTAACAAATGCCATCTATTGACTGTCAAAATAACAAAACCGTTGCGTTCTTTACATTGATCGAGAGGCTGTTTTTATGTGTCTATTCATTGGTCGATTAATCATTAACAACCAATGAAAATAGTCCATGCTCCATGCTCGCCTTCCATGTTGCATGCATGCTGGCTTCGACCAATTTAAATAAACAGCAATTTTTCTGTAAAATAAAAAGACCCTCATAAAATTTTAAATTCCACAAAAACATAGCCGTAGTATCTACAGCTTAACTAGTTTCAAATATATGCTAAACTTCCATAATATCAAAGGGTTAGTTGGCGTGAATATAATTTGGTGGTCAGTTACTACATATCCAATTTACAAATGTGCAAAAGCCGCACAAACTTATTCAATTGTGGTCGAACGAATGAGTGAACGGTAACAGTAATAAGAAGGCAGGTACAAGCAATCTGTTTCCATTTATTAATAACTATGAAAGCCGTGAGAATATATGGAAAGTATAGTGAAGGCACGGAAAGTGAAAGAATTGTGTTAAGATACTGTGTCTTCCTTGTAAGGAAACCAGTGTGAGGGTATAGATCTATACACAGACCACTGGTAGTCACTGGAAACATCCTAAATAGTCCATAGAGTGAAAATTGAAATGCAAACAAACAAGTTTTAAAATATTTTTAATGTCTCATTTTAAATTATGTATTAAACGCGCATTGATGGCTGTGATGATGGCATTGAATATCCAAATAGTTATTGATAATAATACCACTATATTATATGGTGACTTGCCTTGTGATTTCTTTATAATGCAGTGTGAAAATTTTTGGTTTGTTATTTTACATATATTTACTTTCTATATTGAACAAAATGAAATAAAAAAATATTTCACAATAAGTAGAACCGATACGAAGTCGGTTGAACGTGGAAACAATTCGCGTCCTTTTCGCCGGAAAACTATAAAAGTTTTACGGCAATCGTATAAAGGCTTTATTTTTCTTCGGTCCCCAAGGTCGGGTTGAAATCAAGGTTGTCACTAAATAAAAAAGATTTTTGATATTTTTGAGGGTTATAGTTTTTTTTATATATAACATAATCGATAGCACGTTAAATGTAGCTCAACATGAAATATATATACAGAATAAATAAGAAGCAACAGATCTGCATACATACAACTAAATCGAAATAAATAATGCGCATCGGCTAACTTCGTGTTTCCGAAGATGACCAACTCATCTAGATAGCATAATTATATAGAGCTACTCTTACAGTTTATGTATACAAAATAAAATACTTAAAAATATTACGTTAAAACTCAGATTCAGTTCAGTATAGTTCTAAAAAACGGTGTTTTTTGAATTAGTGAACAGGAACGCCTGTTGCTATAGTATCTGCAACTGACTATCAGTCAATCAGTGACTGTCAGTGACGCCAGCTCTCTACTACTAGCAGGGCTAAACAATTCTATATTAAGATTTCTTAAAACTTACATTTACATTAATTATTTAACTGCAATAAAGTGGAAATTGTTAATGAGTTTTAGGATCAAACTTCTTTTCAGCTGTTTTTGATAATTTCCTTTCAATTTATCAGACTATTTACGTTTTCTGATGCCCGTTATTTACCTGAAGTACATGTATAAAAGAGGTGACTTTTGTGTAACCAAAAATATTGTGAAATACCGAGTTAAAGATGGATAGATTTTATGAAAGATATGTGTAAGAAATTTGCGAATGTGCAGATAACGACTAATCGAGATATATTTCTTTACATCTCAAATTCAATCATTCTTATAGTTGGTGTAGTTTGGTTTTATGTGCATTTAAATGTTACCGCAAAACATTTTATGCATCTCAACAACAGTAACAGCCCTTTATAAATCTTCCTCCCACCATATTTTCATCAGTACAAGTGAAGTGATAAAACGCCTGTCGTAACAACTAACAACACGTCCTTATGACGGCCAGCTATAGAATGTTGCTCTTTGGACCCGATTTATAGTTTATGGACGCTAAAATGTATCATCATCTTGGATAGATGTTGACAGACCATTTATTATTGGTGGAGTGCTATTCAGTATATGTAACATATGGTTACATATTATTTAATATATTTATCTTACATAAAACTGTTATAGTATGTATTTTTTTAACTAAAGTAAAATACATGTTTTGTCATATGTCTTCAAATAACTGTATCTTAGTTTGGCACAATGGTTTGTAGGAGAGATAACTGTATAATAATAATATCCAATAGATAATGTTAGCACTATGCTTCGATCCAGATTGTGTTCAAGTAATTACACTAAACGGTATTTATATGGATCTTTCGTATAGTCGTATAATTATCCACTTTTTTATAATAATCTGTATTTTTATAAAAAAGTGGATAAAAATAGAAATTAAATTATTTAATAATTTATAACAATATTCTGTATAAAAGCAATTACTGACAACCCTGTCTATTGGGACTAGAGACGTGCAAAGTTTGCAAAAAAATTTAGTCACGTTAACCAATTCGGATTTAGCCTAGGTTTAATTTAGGTAAACTCTTACCTAAAGCGTTTACCTAAATTGTTACATAATTGTGTTTAACTTTATTTAGTAATTTCTAAATTAATATACTTAAAAAAGTATTAAAGGTTTCATTTCATTGAGGTCTATGGCGTGGCAGCGCTATTTTTTTAAAAGAATATCATAGTCATTCCTTCGGACAGCTGTTTTGCCTCCGCAGACTGAATGCATTAATTTCTTAGCCAACAAGCTCTTCGAACTGTAAAGTAAACTATAAAAATATTAATTTGCGTCTACAGAAGAACAATGATCTTTATGGAACTCACATCAGATACCGTCAATTATTTTAGTAAGTATTTTATATTTCGAATTCCAGGGCTTCTCCCCAGATGTGATGAAGAACCTAGTGGACTCGTCTAGTGGTAGTGCGCGCGATCAACTTAAGATGGCGCTCTCCAAAATGGTGGACCGACGCGACTGCGAACACCAGTACGCGAATAACCGCGCACGCGAAATGGTTTCAGAATTGGAGCGCGATGAGTCAGCCCTATCGTCTGAATTGAGATATTTACAACCTCTAAATTATGTCAATTAAGTATTATTAATTGTTTATGCTTATAACAATTAATTTGATAGAATAACTCTTGAAGCTGTTTAAATTAACTTTTATATGGTTTTTCATATTTTTTGACGTTATAGATTGACTTTTGAATTTGAATTCACTAAGACTGAGATATTTTGTCTTTGTTAATGAACTTAAATGTATTTTTAAACCTGCTCAAGACTTGTTCTGTTAAATATGTAAATTATAATTAATTTCAATTATTATTTTCTTTGTTTAAAAATGTTTATTGTCTAAACCACTTTTTTATATATTTTAATTTGTCTGATACTTTACTGTATTAGCTTAGATTCTTAGGCATCTATTTATTTAAACAATGTAAATGTAATTCATAAATGTATCAACAATATCGAATCGCACTTTACCTGTCGACTTTTCCGACTATGCCTAACAAAATTCATGCGATATAAAGATATCATACTGAAATTAGCGTTATAACGGAATTTGGTTTTTACAGCACGAACATTTATTTGCGGATAATATAAGCACTGAAGTATTTGGTGTTAATTAAAGAAATATATAACTTCGTTAGTAATTTATAAAATACTAATGGTTACCTGCGTTTTCTCCTGTCTGGTTAAAGAAAAAAATGTAAAAGTTTTTTTTTTTCATCCTAGTAAAACGTAACCTTAATGAATTTTCAGCCTTCCAACTTCACACAAAAAGTCACATCATTAAATGTGAAATAGAAATCAAATACAATTTTTATTTTTAAATAAGTGTGAATTAAAAAATACAATAATAATATACTCTATTGCATACATAGTAACATAAACAATGACAAGTTACAAATTATACAGCATGAGAAAAACAATATATTAAATGGCGGCCATATTGCTACATTGCAATATCTTCCAGGCAACATATACAACTGTTTTAATGCGTGATTTACAGGCTAATTGAAATAAAAATACAATAATATGTAAAAATTTTCCAGTTTGTTGTAAAGCAATAAAGTTTAAAATCAAGTGGAAAATTTTGAATTATTTGTGTAATCTGATGCGTGAAAGTTAAAATCAAAAACTGAGCAAAGTAGCAAGATATTAACTACTACCGACAATGATAAGTATTACGTAACAATTTGTAATCTTCTAACATATTTTTTTAATAATTTTTTATTATCCAATGGAACTTTGTTCACTCGTCCAATATGCCCCTTTAAATGCCTTTTGAACTTTTTCTCGAAAATTCGCTTTTATTTTAAATATATATCACAAGATGCGAGATCGGGACTATACACGACAATTTTTCTGTTTTTTTTTCAAAATTCATTTTGAAGTAACATATAATTTTCAATTTGCTGCCAAAATGTAAAACAAATGATATATTAATGAAATACATGGTTAACATTATTAGATAAGAGTTACATTTTCAAAAGATAAACTTTTATTATACCTATCGATTGAAACTGATAACTAAAAACTTTAATTGTAGCCATAGTATGTACGAGTATTATATGAATATCACTGTATTTGTTATTAATTATAAATGCATTTATTAGCAAAGGTAAGAGATATATTATTTGTAAATCTTTACATAAATGTGTTGCCACAATTTATAAAATTTTATACGTGGTTATGTGTGAAAAAAAGAAAATTACCAAGGAACTATCTTTCAATATGATTTGCATTAAAACAGTATTTAAAATATTTAGTTTCATTTATGACACTTTTTACACTATTAACTTTATGACACTATTAACTAAATATATTCATTTAAATTATTGTTTAAATTTAATCAACAAATTCTATTCAGTTTTTCTTATAAATAAAATTAATTACCTAACTGGTCTTTGTAAATAATTTTCTTCCATCAAATTTCAAATTTTATTTGCTCGTTGTGTAGATTCAATTTCCAAAAATTTTCTTCAATCGCTATCTAAATGTTTATGAACAGATCCCAAGCCAAAAATAAATTTAGCACTGGTATCATGGAAACCTGAAACAGCGAAGGTAGGAAACAACCCAGAATTGATACAGTATAGAAAAGTTCATTTTCCACACCTGACCCAATCTGAAATCGAACACGAGACCGCACAGATGACTTCCCAAAATTTGCGTGCAAGCCACTCCGGTGACGAAGTTTCAAAATTTTCATTCTGATGTAGATATAGCTATTTATCGCTATCCCGTCCTCGAGGAGTAAATGTAAGCGGTATATCAACCAACTTGTCGACCAATGAAAATGAGCTTTTTGGAAGTCTTCTAGAAGCCTTATCTATTTATGAGAGGTACATAAAGCCTAATCATACATTTCATAGGCGTACACAGAAAATTATAAACTAAAGGCAAAATTATACACTTCTTACAATATATATGAATTTTAAAGGGTATGAAAATTATGACTATTAATTTATAATACGAGGGTCAAACTGAAAGTTCTTAGAAAATCAAAAACTGATTACATTAGCCAGTTATTAGTTTTATTATATCTTTTCAAAATATTGTCCATTCACGTCAATACACCGCTGCATGCGATGGAACCACTGGGAAAAGCACTTTGCCCACTCGTCCTTAGGGGTCTCTTCAATGGCATCGCGATACGCAGCCACCGCTTCTTCAGCATTCATAAACCGCTTTCCTTTAAGTTTTTCTTAAATTTTTGGAAATAAATAAAAATCACAAGGCGCGAGGTCGGGGCTATACGGCGGGTGACCCAGTAATTCAACGTTTGATGTCGCCAAATAGTCGATCGTTCGCTTGGCGGTGTGCGACGAGGCGTTGTCGTGGTGAAGGAGGATCCTACTGCGAGGTCGTTTCTCTCGAACTTTTTCCAAGACAAGTGGCAAACAATTGGTAGTGTACCATTCTGCAGAAACTGTTTTTTGATCCTCTAACACAATTGTTGCAAAATGACCTATCCTTCCAAAGAACGAGGCCACCATTTTTTTTCCCGCACTTCGATCTCTCTTCACTTTAGTTGGCAACTCCTCGAAAGGAAACACCCACTGAGCAGATTGTCTTTTGGTTTTAGGATCATAACAGTAAATCCAGCTTTCGTCACCTGTTAGTATGTCGAACACAGCATTTGAGTCACCTCGGTTAAATCTTTCAATCATTTTACGACACCAATCCACACGATGGAGTTTTTGAGCCTCAGTCAAATTATGAGGTATCCACCGGGCGCAAAGCTTCCTGACCGCTAAATGTTCGTGGAGGATTTTGTGCACTTGACTCATACCGATGCCTAAGCTTGTCCGAATCTGTTGATAGGTCACTCTTTTGTCAGTCTCTATCATACGCCGCACAACACAGATGTTATCTTCAGTCGTCGCCGTAGAAGGCCGTCCCTCACGTAAATCATCAGTGAGATTAGTGCGACCACGTTTAAACTCATTAAACCAGTTGTAAACAGTCGCACGAGATGGGGCTTCATCGTGAAAGGCCAATCGTAGTCTATCATAACTTTCTTGTTGACTTAAATGACATCGAAAGTCATAAAAAATCATTGCACGAAAATTTTCTCGTGTTAAATTCATAATGACGTGACACAGACAATTTTCAATTTGCCGCCAAATCGTAAAACAAATGACAAATGAATGAAATATATACTCAGTAATATTGGCAAAGAGTTATATTTTCAAATTTTAGAATTCTTTTTTTATTATATTGTTTATAAGTGGCCAGTTCTAAGAACTTTCAGTTTGACCCTCGTAAAACAAGGTTTTATTAAAAGAAATAGAAATCACAGTTAAATGTTACAATCAAATAACAAGTATAACTATTCTTAAATATAAAACTTACCTAATTATCAAAACGACAGAATATATTGTATTTATTTCTTAAAACTTACTTCATTCCACTTTACCATTGTGAATAAAAATAATATTTAAGAGTAATCGGACATTCAATGATTAATTGTCATTTTTAATCCAATTTTGAAAAAATATTAATGGCTAACCATACGTCCCGCAGGCGTACGTACGCAGGCTCTGAATTGGTTAAACAGGACGATGCGCTAATTTAACTTGTTAGAAAAATAGAGCGAAAATTAGTTTTTATTATGCTAGATAGGCAAGCACTTGACCACATATCACCTGATAGTAAGCAATGCAGTGGTCTTAGATGAAGCGTGCTTGCCTAGAAGGAACCGATTCACTCTTGACTTGACGAGTCCCAGATTATATTTGTCCAGAAACAGCGAGTCCGGTAGCGAATTCCACAGCTTCGCAGTTCGCACGATGAATGTAGAGGCGAATCGCTTGGTGCGAGTTTGTGGAATCTCCACAGTAAAGTGGTGACGCTGCCCAGTACCCCTGGTTGTACGATAGTGGAAAAGGGGCGACGGAATTAAGCCATGTAATTCCAATGCACACTCGCCGAAATGTAACCGATAGAAGACCGATAGACTAGCGACTTTGCGGCGGATTTTGTATACGCCTCGAAGACGTAGGGTGACTTCTAGGGTTAATCCCTTTACTTTCACAGAACCTTAAGCATCGAATGGGTGAACAAAATTTGTTACCTCTGCGTTTCTGATTGAAACAGTAAAAAACACCAAAATATCAGTATCATACGGTATGGTGAATAATTTTCGCTATGTTTCTTAACCTTCGCACGCTGATTTGATTACATTTCGGGTACGATTTCCTGTTGGGTCATTGTAGAATACATATAGTCCTTTTATTCCGTGGAATAATTGCTTTCCAGTTTTTTCATATTTGAAGGTAACGGGCATTTTAATATTCAGATTTATTAAAGGTTAACTACCCTGGTAATAAAGGAAAAACAACACAAAATTGGGCAATAACGCTCAACACCGATTCTCTTAAACTAAGGCGTTTCGTGGGATAGCGGTGAATTCCCTTTGTTGTGCTCTTATCCAATTAGCAGATCCGCGCTGACTCATCCGTTATAATCAGCGGAATTGATTTTTGATTTAACAGCGAAGAGTGAAGATTGTCTATTGTGTGTTGGATTATTATATCTATACTAATATTATTAAGATGAAAAATTAGATCTTTTGTTTGTTTGCATCGAATAGGCGCCAAAACTACCGTATTTAGTAGTATTAGTAATTTCGGATATCAACTGTAGCAGTCGGATAGCTGTCGGATGGATGGACTGACGAATCGACATTAGCGTTCATATAAGGGTTATATTTTCCTGTACATATAAACGGAACTCTACAAAAAAAATAATCTTATAAAAATTGCTTAATTACGCCTACATCATCACTAGCTTATTAATGTCTTCACTACTAAGAGAATGGGCTATAACCCACCACCCGGTCTTGGGCGGATTGTTGGGTATTAACGACTGCAGATGCAGCCGTAACCGTTCCTTCTGAAACGTGTAGGAGTTTGATAGAGATTTGTTTCTAAATTTTTGGTCACCCATCCCATGACCGACCGTTTCAAAGTTGCTTAACAAACGTATCGCAGACCATGCGCGTTAACCACAGCGCCATCGAGCTCTTCTGTACCTTCATTATATTGTAATGCTTATCAATCAATCAATACAATCAATTATCTGTACTGATCTTTACATATAGAAAATTTAATAAAAGAACATTTAATTCATATTAGAAACAAAACTGTACCTCGGCTGCTGCCAAAAATTTCATATCACTCGATCCTAATTCGTACAAAAGGATTCCATTGTGGCGAAAACAAAAATAAACCACCAAAACAGCCAACGTGCGTGCCCTCAAAGACACTTTATACAAATATTTTCTTGGTGAATTGTTTGCTCACTGGTAGTGTGTAGTGATGTTGAACAATATATCGATACATCGTATCTCTTAGTTTCTTAAATAGTATTTCTTTTTAACAATCCCATATTTAGTGTCGGACGAATGTTCGGTTTCGGTTGAGTTCCGGCAGACAGATACTCACTTGTAATTATTAGTATTTAATCATTGCCATTTGCTTACTTTGAGTTTATAATTAAATAGTTTAGCGTTTGTTTCTTTTAAGTTTCAAAAAGACCCAATAAGTTTCAAAAATGAAGATGAAATTCATTACTTGTTTAATATTTTTAAAACCATAAACGATATTGTAATGAAGATTCTCCTTAATTAAATAGACACCTATTCTATTTTAAATATTTTTAAGGCGCAATTTTTTTTCTTATATATGTGGTTGTTATGTTGAGTAGTATTAAGTGAAAATGTCGAAGACTGTATAGATTTGTAATTTAAAGACAAAAAAAAAGTATGAACAATTACTAATAGAAAATCAACTAAAAAGATTGTAACTTAAATTAAAATTATTTTATTTCTGTCTTATTAGTTAGACTAATTATTACTATGTTGGTCGAGAAAACGAGAAAGTCCATATTTAAAAGTATTATTTTTATTAGTCTTACGGATCACCGTAAGACTTATAAAATAATACTTTTAAATATTTTCATCAGAAAATTATGATATACTTTCTTGAATTCCTTGTAATTCGATAAGTGTTAAACCTTTTAATACGAAACCCATATTGTAGTTTTAAAAAAATACTAAGTAATGGCGTAGCATTGCCGCCATGCTAAAACAAAACTTATGATCTTTCAAGTATATAATAAATTCTTTTAGCAGTTCTGGGGATATGAGGTACTAATAATGAATAGTACAAACATAAAAGATACGCGTGAAAAAAAAATAACCCTTCCCTTGCAGTCATATAAAAAATAAAGACGGACTATATAATAACGTTTTCTTTATTTTTTCTTCAAAACGTGATCATAAGGAAGTTTCCGTTTTAGTTTAGGTTTTGGCCGAAACTGAGTCTGTTTTACTGAGTGTAAAAACCAATTCCGACACTACCCACATTATTTCAGTATTTAGAGTAACAGTTATTTATAACATAGCTACCATGTACCATATTTTTATTGAGTCATGATTATATAATGATGAAAACTATTTTTATACCTATTATCATTGTTCAGTCATGACAAAGCATAGTTTTTTATGCTCATACTCATTATTAATTCATTCACGGAGTAACAATAGCAAAATAATGTACATGGTAGAATTCCCGTAAATAATTATTAATATTATTTTTATGATCATGAATGTTTAAAACATCAAATTGCATAATATAAAATAGTGTTAATATACTTCAATTAATTGAGTAAAGTAATAAATAAAGAATTTGTATTATTTTTTTTTAATAAAAAATGTTTACAAAATTCATCAGTCCCAGGCACCCCTAGATGAGACTCGAACTCACAACCTTTTACAATCCGGGCGGCTTTTTGTGTTCGGATTTTCAATTTTTTATTTTTATGAACAATAATTAAAGTTACATCATTCCAGCAGTTCTAAAAATTTTAACTCTATTAGTCGATAGATAGATGGATATGACCTTAAGTAGTCATACTTAAGATCATATCCAAAATGAGTTTAAAAGCTGTCTCGTAAACTAAATAAAAAATATTACAATAAGATTAAAGGTGACGATAGCTTTACATCACTATCAAAGCTTCGCATTCATCGCGTCAGAAGAATGACCGTGACAAAGCCCCCCCCTCTTCCAGCAATAATGCCCTGGTGAGTTACGTCATTTGTCACAGTATCCGTCAGTTACACAGGCATAAAATTCTGATTGCAGTTGTGATCAAAATAGATTATCACAAATTGGGACGCTGGCATTTATATTTTTCCTCATTGGATAAATTTAGTCCTTTTATGCCTCAAATTTCTAATGAGAACCCTCCCCTCACTGTTGAGCCAATTTAAGTTAATCGTAAAATTTGGTGTCTTGCTTGTGTGATTGTGAATAATTGACAAACGAAACAATGTTATATAATAGTCAATGTAAAATATAAAAAGAAACTAGAAAGCCTATCAATGAGACATAGAAATGTCATTTTTATTGTGGAAAAATATTTAAAAGTTAAATGAACAGTATTACGATTATTTTAATTTCGCTTCAACTGCAAAGAGACTGACTTAAGTACAGTATGTACCTTTTCCGAAACAAAACGTCACACCCAAGTGCCCTTATCCACGAATGTGCCATATTGCCCCCATCTATTTTACTATACTCTATCCGTTTAAAGATTTTAATAAAAATTGCACGCTTTGACAGTACATGACTCTAAATAGCAAATATAAGTGTAAAATGTTTCGTGTCAAATAGCGTAATTACTTTCTCATCCACAGACATCGTTACACGACTGTGTAATTAATGCCTAGCTCGGTATCAAAACAAATGGGAATGCTCACGGCGTGTCGCGTAGCGATTTCCCGTCTGTTTGTTCCATTACCGCTGAGTAAAGGGTTATTTGTTCCGATGATCTAAGGTGACTTCCTCATGTATATCACAAATCTCATCATTTATTATGTTCCTCGTGAAATTTTATTGTGTTCGGCCTTTTTTGGATTCAATATCCAAGGTATGTGATTTAGACCCAATGAGATACTGTAATTTGGGAAATTAGCTTATTTTAAACTTTTGGAAGGAAATATAACAAACAAAAATTTTTTTTTCCATTTCTATTTCAAAAATCATTTCAATTCGATGACAAGAAATGTTCTGAAATCAATACCCGAATGAAATCCTAAAAGAGAGAAAAATACAGTGTCTAAGAAAATAAAAGCTTCATTATTGACTACAAAAGCTGTCTGGACAGGATACAGGTATGTCCAACTAGTCTTTTTATTTTCTCTCCTAAAAGAACATTTTGAAAGCACAGAATATCTTACAACACAATCATGTTTCTTGTAATAAAGGACTTTATTACAATGTACAAAAACATTATATTAGACAATGTTACTGTGTTCTAATAACTTTCAATAAAAATACAAATCAAGTCAGCAATAACGTGCTCTACTATTATTGTATTCCTTTTTTCGAGAATAAAGCTCACCTATGTCCCTTCCTAAGTTTAACTCTATCTCTGTACCAAATTTTATTAAAATGGGCTGTGTGGAAAGTGGTGTTAAGTGAAATAAACAGACAAGAGTTATTTTCGCATTACTAATATTAATAGGGATATCAAGTACCTAATAATTATTTAAAACAAAAGTAGTCGATACATTTCACCATCATTCATCATCAAATAATTGATCAACTGAGAATTAATTTTGATCTAAACGAGCTTAACTTTTTATCACATAGGTCGTTAAAAGATACAAATAATAACTTATATCGAATTTAATGAAAATAAAATAAATAAACATGTTGTTACCTTACAAACAAAAACTTTTCAGTTACAAAGAGGCAACTATCGTTAATAAAATAAGTACTGACCACCAATGGACTAATGACTATAACATTTTATCTACATAGTTTGACTAAAATATTTTGGTTTATTTACTATACAAAAAAATATATAACTAAAACTCATGAAGAATCATTACTAGAACCACTCGATTTAAACACAGCAGTTATTCCTCCCCATAATAATTGTGCAAAGCTCCCCAGCAATTCTAGAATGTAAAAGAAATAATTCTCGTTTGACCCTTCATTATCACCAGTGACGTCATCTAACGTAAAACTGTCGTCATCATCATCATCACTATCTATCTCATTAGTCGTATCATTTCCAAGATTCTCTATGTTACTATTAACAGGTAAGTAACTAGAGTACAGTGTAATCTTTTCAGGTTTCCTGTCACTCTTCCTTAGAGCTTCCACTGATAGCTCTTCTACATCTCTATCTTTAGATATGTCGTTATCTACTGGAAGATAATTTGCTTTTGTCACCTCATCAAAGCTATCGTCTAGTATTTCTATCTTCCCCCAGGATTTAGTTGTCGCCCAGGAGACAGTTTTATTTTTACCTATTCCCAAAAACCTGAAAATGAATAATGTTTACATCATTAGCGGCTACTATAATTTATTGTTTTCAAGTCAGGAATGTTTCAAGTCTTTTTTAGGTTTGGAATAATATTTTATTTTTAATCCTGTACACGTAATCACGTAAATAGCTAATTTCATCAAAGTACATCGAATTATTTGAAGTTATAACAAATAAACAGCTATTTTTAAAGTTTATAATATAAGTCAATTTTAACTTATTAAAGATTAAGATAACTTGATGATATAATAAAAACATGAATAACATTTATGTACAGATGTTATTTTACAATATCAGCCCCGTAATGCTTCTACCAAATTATGGTGTGCAAAAATAATAATTTATTCTAAATGAAAAAATGCTTAAAAATCCACTTTGCACTCTGCGATAAGAGTCGAACCCATGACCTTTCGCAATCCGGACGACTGCTCTAACCACTGAGCTATCCAGGACCTAAAAGGACTGACAAATATTTTTCAAGCTCTCGTTAGTTTTTCACTACTACAGGACGTATTTTTATCAATGTTCAGGCAGTCCACCCAAAGCATTTTTCATTTAGAATATGTTTCAGTATAGAATGCAAAATTAATCAATAGTTTACTTAATTAAAATTTTATAATAAATATATCTAATTTCAAATAAAATTCGTACCTAATTACATTCAGTAAAAATCAATGAGATGTCAATATATATATAATAGAATTACATTCTTCATTGGTCGCACTCAGCAATCTGCATGGGTCCCTTTTCCCTATATTCCTTCGCACCCGGAAGGTTTATACTGAGCTGTAGGTACTCCATAGTGGAGACATAAATAACCTCAGGATGATTTAAATAACTTAAGAAATTCTTTTATCACCTACTCTTGGTTCGATCATGGGTTCGACATTTACCTTCTACCTACCTGTAAATAGGTGATGTTATCCTCTCCGCGATATTGTTAGCAATCTGATGGTAGACGTCCAAAGGTGGGTGGGTTCCACTGGTGGTGCCTTGAGTGGTATACACACTAACCACGGAGTCTTCGTCTGCTGGTCTACTATTGCACGGCCTGTATGCCTTGAAATACATAAAAATGGATAATTTTATTACTTCTGGATATAAAACTACCTACTTAATATAAGTTTCATTATCTTCAAGAAGTTTCATCTATGCTATATATTCAAATAACTTCGATCAAGTGGCTTGTTTTCAATATTGAGCTATATCATAATTAGAATTGAGGAAATTTACCGATTTCAAATCGATCCAAATAAAAAATTCTTATAACCATCGATAATATTTTCACAACAGATTATTTTAGGGGTAGGCAGAAAGTATTAAGCGCCGCGTGCGAGACTTCTTTTATTTACTTTGCCGGTTTTTATGAAATCTGAATACCACCTTTTGTTATTACATTTATTGACTAAGAAACTTTATGTGACAATTTATTTAATTCCCGTGAAATGTGATTGGAAATCTGTTTGCAATACATATGATTTAATCCAATCATTATGTCACTCATATTATTTAAATCTTTGCATGGTATGTTATTAATATTTCTATAATGATTTTATTCCCACGCTCTTTAACTTGGGGGTGAATACCATTCATGTCAAATACGTTTATAATATATACTTCTTAAAATACGATATATAGTTCATAATCATATACAGTAAAACAGAAATTAAACTTATTTATAGAAACGATAAATAACGTTTTGTTATGAGAGCCCTTAAATATTTAAACGGAACCCTTATAGGAACACTTTTTTGTCCTTCCGTCTGTCTGTCCATACCGTCTATTCCGTCAAACTGTCTCAGGAACGCTAAATAAATAAGCTAAAATTTATAACAAACACTTAGGTCTTTTTTATTTAATTGTCTAGTTTTAAATGTTTTAATATTACTTTCTTTTTTATTTCTATCGTGTAACACCTGTAATTAAGATTGCATTTGTAATAATTGTTAAAAATGTGTAAACTTTGTTTAAATCAATGTTAATCTTGGTGGTGTTAATAAACAAATACTGTCCCTTGGTGCTGTGAAAAAATCAAACTTCTAAGCCAACGAAATCATAAGATATAGACGTTAATGCCGCAAATTTCTTCAAATTTTCAAAACTAGCAAGGAAATCGAATCTTACAAGATACTTCCCGTAAACTCAGAATATCAAAAGAATCATGTCATCCTCCTATTTTGCGCTAAATATTTACTAACGCCTAGTATATGATTTAGTTTTCTCCTTTTGTGTTATGAATTATTTGGCTTGACGTTTATTTAATAATTGAACTTAAACTCCGTTTTCATTAATAAATTTGAATGCTTGGTACATATTTATGTTTATATAATTAATAAATAAAAGTTAATATATAAAATTAATGAAGACAATATATTTGTGTTGTGTTAATCAATAACGACCATAAAAATGGGAAATACCACTACAACACAATGTAAAATAATTTTAAATCAAAAACTAACAAGAACTTAAAGAATAATAACTATGATGTCGTCTCAAACAATATATCAGATCGTAAGATTTTGTAGATTATCATGATTACATTTCTTTATGAACTTTATTCCCAGTCGATTGGACATAAGCAATGCCTTCGTACTTGATCTAGTAATTATGTAACAAACACCTCTTTAAAACACTTTAAAAATAACAAATAAACAGCAACAAAATATGTTTTATGGGCGTATTTCAATAAATCAACTAACAACATTTGAATAACAAATGGTTTGTTGATTATTCAAATTTTGTTTTCCATATTTTGGCTAAATATATTTTGTTGAGTCATCTTTCAAGAGAAGCACGTATAGTAAAATGGAATTACTGGTGTTATACGTGAAAATAAAGGGACGGGAACTGTGGAGAACGTGACAAGAATGGTTACCCACTCACTGTTCACGCTATTCAGATAAAACAGATATTTACGTAATGATGACATTTGGTAGGAAACTGATTGAATTAGCTTGTTTAATTTAAGTATAAGAACCTAATATGACATTATATTTCATCAATTTCTTATTCACAACGCTATACTGAAAAATATTGTTAATGAAAAATCCATTCGTCCCTGGTACTCTGAGATGGGATGCGAACCCATGAGCTTTCGCAAATCGGACGACTGCCTTTTCAACTGAACTACTCAGTTTGTTTTTAAAGATATTACAATAATTTATATTAATAATTGCTTAATTTGGGAAAATTACTATCGAAATAATGATCGAGCAAACAAAGAAAACGACTGCCAGAAATATATGGCTCGGGTGATGCGTTTTGATCCTTGGGACCAATGCCAGCCACCATCGCTACACCGCTCACGTATCTCGATCCTTTGGTTAATGACAATGACACTTTTTTGGTTCAGATTATTTTTATCCTGTTAAATTGGGCAATTACTAAAGAAATAACATAAGGAAGATGGACTTTTTTTGGAGTCTTTTATATAAATAAAAAATAAAACAACACATTCTAATTTATAACTGTTTAAGATTAAATAAACTCAAACAAACCCAAAAAAAAAATCACAAAGCAACAGAAAAGAAAAATGAAGAATAAAAAATCGGCTGTGTGTTGCAGCGATGCAAAATGGTCAAATTGGTCAAGGCTCTGTATACGATTTGCCCACATCGGTAGCAAATCACTAATATTCTGCCATAACCGCTGAGGAGCATAACGCTAAAGCGTCTAAACAGACACCTCTCTTTTAATTTGTAACACGAATTACTCAAAAAGTTACGATATCTGAAAATTAAATGAAATATACATAAACATAATAAGTGAAAATAATCATCACACCAAACACACACACAATCTCAATAGCAAAATCCGTTACCGAGTACCCCTTAGTAATACTTTAGGAAATTCTTTGAAATGTTTTTCAGAGTCACTTTTGAAGTAAATGCTAGAACTACTTACTACCACCTCTAGGTATCTCTAGAGATGGTAAGTAGTTTCAGCATTTAGTTGCTAGGTAACGGAAAATACCAGTGGAAGCAGCTGTTTTGTGAAGTTGACTCTCCAGTAATTACGAGTATATTATATTATCTATTATCTCTATACTTGTTGGGACGACGAAACCGAAGCTTAGCTTAAAGATAAGTTGGCTTCTGGAATTTGATAACTGGCGAGGCTGGCGAGGTGCAGATTTCTACGCGAAGCTATATTTAATATCGAAGCCTTATTCAAATAGGGTGTAATGTGACTTCTAGGAGGTTTGTAAAACAGAAATGACAACAGGCATTCTGCACACTCTGTATCGGTAACATTTTCTTTCTTGACCGTTTAAAAAACTGACGATGAAAATTTGTTAAGAAAATTTCCTTTGGGTGTATTTCGCGGGATCTAGTTAATCTTTTAACAGATTCACTAATTATAAGAAAAATAATAATGTTTTACTGTCGTGTATAACAAAGGTGAGTTGAAACAACCCCGATTTCTCGAAATTCAAAAACAGTTGGCTAGTTTAGTCGTTGCATATAAATTGTTTACGAGTAGCGATGATACCAACTTGCTAACGGTTTTTAAACTTCGAAAAATCAGGGTTGTTCAATTCACACCGGTTTAAAAATCCCTCGATCTCCCATAGTTAACACTACAGTAAAACAAATGACTATTTTGAATACTAAAACTGACACATAAATGTGTAAGTATATGTAAAAAAACGAAAGCAACAATGACACCCACGGGGACGGATGATGGCGTACTATGAGAAATAGAAAGAGAAAACATACGAACACAAATAAAAGTTCCAGTCCGTCAACTTTTATAGTCAACAGTAGTCGACAGATAGTAAATATATATTTACAAATTTTTACCCCACAAATGCCTTCACGTCCTCCGAGTCGCCGTTCATATGGTTTTTTAAACAGTTAAATTTAAAACATAGTTTTAGATGCAAAATAAGGGTTTTATATATATATATGGTTCCTTTGTTGTCTGATCCTTTATTGGGTTTCATAATCGTCATCATTATCACCAGCCTATTAATCTCCCTAATGCCGGGGCTCAGGCCATCGAACGCCTATGTCGCAACGGGGACATTAATAGGTCGATTATTAATTATATGTAACATCTTCTCTTTAAGCAACAATAACAAATAATATATTATTGTTATCCATTTAAGGTCACCTTTAATGACATTGGACGTCATTGAGACTTCATTGAATATTGGTATTAGTGTCTATGTATTTTCCATTGGATTTTCCAAAACACATTCCTTATGAAAAACAGTTATGATGGAAACAATACCCGTTTTAGGATGTTAAGGGTTAATTAGAAAATTGAAAGTTAAGCAAAGTAAAAAATAAGAAAAGACAATTTTTAGCATCTCGAATATGTTCTTTTTATAAGTTTGAAAAAAATAATTATGAAGTAGATTTAGAAAATAATCAATAAATGACTATATCTTCGTGTATTTATTTTTTCCTCAAACGCGCGAATACTAAACCGAAAAGCGGCGTCAAAAAGTAAGATTTTTTGTAGATACTAAAAAATACACGTGATTAGGGTGGGGGGGTAATCTTAAACCTCACCATGTATCACCAAGGGGGAGTGAGGTTCTAAAATCAAAAAACATCACGTGATTAATAGACGGCCCCTAAGCTCCGAAACTACTGAATTGATTTTAAAAATTCTTTCACCTACAACAAGCTACAGCAAGCTATAATTTAAGCGGGCGAAATTACGGAAAGTCACTAGTACTAATATTAAAAGCGAAGTCGCTGAATAACAGCTAATCTGTAATAAAAACAGCTTCAAATTCGAAGTTTAATCAAATACGACCTACTTCAAGGGTAATAAAGAATATATTCCATAGAAGCTTTCAGGAGCTTGGGTCAAAACATGATTTTTATAAAAACAATCGATAAAAAATATTACAAAGTAACTTGTAAAATGCACCGATTGGTTAATTTCTTCTAATGAATGTCTTCTTTTTAGTGTTTCGTAGTAAACAAAGAAAATTTCGCCATGTCCGTGTGTCCATCCATCCGTCCGCGGTTTAGCTCAAAAAGTAATGGTACCGTAAAATGGGGTTAATTTAATCAGTTCTGAAACTCATATGAACGTATTTTATTAAAAAAAATATTTTTGTTTTATCGACCTTATTAAAAAAATGTTTTTGATTATCTGTTTCTTAAAAAAAATCTGCTGATCTATTTCAAACCGTCTTTGGGGCTTCTTTGATCATACTACGGTTTATAACGGAATGTGAAAGTAAACTCTGTAATAACTATAATAAAAAAATTTGCAAAATAAAAAAAAGTGTTAAAGCAATTCCTATTTATTGGGGTTATTTTAATCAATGATAAAAATTGGTAATTAAATAGATTTTTAATAAACAATATTGATTAAAATTAACTTGTTTTTTTATTCAGGACAGCAAATCCGTATTTCATTAGTATTCGATTTTTATTTACTTTCATCAGCCACTTTCCTTGCCATTTTCAGTAATTTTTTTTTTTATCTTTAGCCATCTCTTCTTTTGGTGATCTTTTCCCTTGTTTATTAGTCAATATACGATTTCTTTGATTGTCTTGAGACGAGCTAGTTTCAATTTGTTCTTGATCTAACGTAGAAATGCTTTTACAAGAAGAAACACTGAGCCTTTTCTTTTTTTTTTTTGATAGTGTGTGTTGGCTTTCTATATCGTTGTTATTTTAATAAATCTGTCAAAACGCTTTCGCTACTTTCCACAACTTTACTCTAATGACAAACGTTTCAATACTTCATCGGGATTAAAAGGGGAATTTACCCGTGGCTATAAAACCTTTAAAACCGTCAATTAAATTACGGCTATAGCAAAGTCGCCTTCTACCGTAGGAACTATAGAGCTTTGTGTCTTTTATGACTTGATTTTATCTTATGAGTGCCCTGTTATATAAACTTGGAAAAACGTCTTTTGGAAGAGAAGTTAACTTCATATTCTTCATCTTTCATTTAATTAATATAAAGCGTCATGCTTTCTTCATAGGCCGAAACAACGCCACGTTTAAAAACTAAAGATGATGGGTAGAATTCGGCACCAGGCAGATGAAGTCGATGTTATTTTCTTGGCAAAGTTTTAACATGTCATCATCTAAATACGCCGATAGATTGTCGCCAAATAACACTTTTCGATCATGAAGTCTCTTTGAATGTGACAAAAAACATGATATGAATCAACCTCTAAAAGTAGCAGTATACATCCATCCGTTTACTGTTCTATTAAATCGAGTTCAGCATGGTTCACTACAACAAGGAGGTCCACGTGGTGCGCGTTCGTTTCACGTGTGATGTAAATGAGTGCTTCAGTAAATAACATATGACGGTAAAAGCAAACCATCTGCAGATGCACACACCATTATACTAGTGAAGCTTTTAGATTTTTTTTTAGATATGTTACTCCTAACCTATAGATATATCATTTTTTATAAGGATCGACACTTAGGTTTGATTTATCATAATTAAATATATTGCAAGTAAGGACATCTATGCCAACAGATTTCTGTAGAAAAATAATCTATTATAGTTTCCCTTGAAACTTGCGCTCGAACTCTTCTTATGTTGGCAGCAACAAGTTGACTGTAACTATCCTTGTGTCCTTTTAGCAAAGAATATCGCAAATCTACACCTGGTATGTTATCTTGAAACTTTGGTACTATTCGTCCACTGCTATCTAACAAGGCTTTGACGAACATTCGTAAATCCAAAAGGCTTAGGGGAAAACCACAGTCAACATCCTTTGCCACGGATAGGGGGATTGCTTTCCCCTGTGCTTCAGAGGAAACTGGTTGAGCTCTTGGCTTTTTATGTGTTTTCCATGATATCTGTTGTACAGTGTTCCATATGGAATTTTAAATTCTTCCGCGTCACCACAAATGATGGATGAACGGCCATCTAAAATTACCTTTTCAACTTTAGATTCAGCAAAATTTTTATAGGCATTGTCCTATAATATAAAAAAAATCACTAAAATTTATAAAACTGTTGTGTATTACACAACACAAACTTAACAAAAGAATTTTGACTTGCAGGATGACGTCGTTGAGGATGACGATATCGTTGATCAATTTAAACCCATGATTGATATTAGGTTTAATGCGTATTAGGTTGATAAAGCGGTCATTATTTTTAAACCTTTAAAGCAGTTATTCAATCATATGTCAAATCCTCAAAAGTTTATATTTTTAGGTAAAACAAACAATATGACCCAAACATGATACATTTCTTAGTGTATTAATAGTTTCTCTTACCCTGAAAACAGCTTGTCGCCAGTGTACTTTTAAAATAATATTTATTTAAGAAAAACACCTGCAGACAGTAAGCTTTATGGACGCCATATACTTTTCACACTTTCAGTGCTGCGAATCTAATAAAAAAACTGAACGTACCCAACGTTCAGAAATAAAAAAATCTAGTCTAGTCTAGGCTAATCTAGGCTTTGGTGAAATACATTTTCAACTTAGGCGATTACTAAATATTTAAGCGACAGATTTGGGCGACTCTTAAGTTTAGTGAAAACGAGTATTAGTGTCTCACTTAAAAGTACAGTAGCTTCGGCTGTGCATTGATATATAAATCAGTCAGGTTTTCCGTTTATAGATTTTTAGTGATAAAAGTTTAGTTATTTCGACGTCATAAACGTTCACATAAATATATCATCTAAGTAATCGGTTCACATATGATGAATAACATATACATAAAAATGTAAATTAACCTCTTTTTTAAGTCCGTCAAAATAGTTACCGTTTCTTTATTTCGTACAATACTGTCCTCAGTCTGTAGCTAGCAGATTGACTAGCCTGTTAATTGTCTTTTTTCCTTTTTATCTTTATACATCACAGAAAATTATACAAAAAAGGCAAATGAATTAAATAATACCAGTAGAGGTCATTATGATTGACCGACTTCGTGAATCAATGAACCAATAAATCACTTCAGTTATTTTATACTTTATTTAATAACCGTGAAGACCGCTTGCATGATCCCCGAAATGTATACCGTATGTATATTAATGTATTTTGTAAAGTCCCTTGAGATTTTTCCGGTATCGGATTAGCACTTGTTTTTATACCAACAAATAGGGAATTTTTTTTCAAATTATATTTCGTCCGAACAGACTTCAAGCAATACTTATCAATAGAATAGTTTACTTATTTATTTCTCTTTCATAAACAAATAATTTATTAATATCTGAGAAATAACACAGTAGTAACAACATGTCTCCGATTAATACTTTAGGAGATATGGTGTAGTGTTTGTGCTAGTTTGCAAAAAACGCTCCCTATAAATAAGAACAAGCAAAAAACGGATGAGCGTATGGACAATATTTGTAATATCTTTGTTATACATATTTTTAAATACGTTTTAGTTAAAATGGTTCATATTTCTGAATATTTAACAGAAAACTAAATTTTGTCATGTGTGACTATTTATGGACGGTTTTTATTACACTCTATTTTATTTAATAATTTATAAATCATTTAATATCATTAGGGTGAATAGAATTGCTTTTCTTCCTTTTTTCCTCCAAAATACAATTTATTAGAAAAATGATGTTAAACTTACCAGTAATAAAAGCAATATAACAGCCTTCATGTTACCGCCACAGCCTCCTCAGTATTTTAAACCTTTTGCTGCGTTTGAACCTCCAAAGTCGGAACAGGCGCGTTGCGCGGACGCACATCTGCGGGTGAGTGCGGATCAATGAGGGTTATGCTCCTCGAAAAAGTGAGGACTGTAGGTTGACAACGCTGGGAGTAAGACATGAATATGATGACAGCACATCATCATGCGCTTGCCCTTTTCTCAATTATTTATTTTAAGTCATTTAATGCCATATTTGCATTAATGATAAAAAAAACGAGACTTGACCTCTAGCTTCAATTATATAATATTTGGAATTGAATAGAAGAGCTAGTAAAATGGATTTATTTTAGATACTAAATAAGAAATGTAATGAAATATAAAATCAATAATGAATGGATTTATTTCACAATATAAACTGAACAAATATGGACAATCATTGACAACAATATGTTGTTTAAGATTTGGCAGATTTCGAAAATACTACTTCAAATATCACATAGAAAGTAAGAGAGAGAGAAAAAAGAAAAGCTCATTAATAAACTAAACTCACCCGCAGTGACACTCATTTAACACTGTATTCCTGTCATTATCTCATGGTCAGAAATTGCAACTATTGTCTTAAGATTCTTATAACAAATAAATTGTGAACTTATAAATAATTCGACATTTTTTACTTACAATGAATTGCACACATAGCAGTGCACAAAACAATTAATTCATAAAAATGAGTTTAAACTAGGAGAAGTATATGTTCTAATAAAGAGATTATTTTATCCTGCATTAATATTTAAAAGCATGGTGAAACTATAATGCGACCTCAACGCGTGCACCGCCGCCCGTGAGCCGACAATCAATTAGATTTGCACCTCCAAATATCATCGGTACAATCATGGTTCAATAAAATTAAGATGTTTCTATTCAACTTGTCGTCTCTATAAAATAAAACATTAAAAAATTCTACGACCTTCTTGAACAAGTGATTTAGGGCTCATTTATATTAATAGTATATAAAAGAATGATTTGACTGTTTGTTTGCATCGAATAAATTCCGAAACCGACCGACTGACCGATTTTAAAAATTCTTTCACCCTCGGAAAACTACATCATACACGGGTGACATAGTGATAAAAGTATAAAATAAATCACTAAACCACGGCAGTGTCGTATAGAAGTTCGCAGTGCAATATTTCGTCTCATATTTATTATTCAACTAGCTTTCCGCCAGCGGCTTCGCCCGCGTAGTCTTGTATTATACATAAAAACCTTCTTTTTGAATCACCCTATCTATGAAATAAACCTGCATCAAAATCCGTTGCGTAGTTTTAAAGATATAGGGATATAGGGACAGAGAAAGCGACTTGTAGTGTTTATACTATGTAGTGATATGTAAGGAATACAAAGCATATTCGTGTCGACTAAATTCAATAGCATTTATACAAGTCAAAAACTATGAGACGCAAATCGAAAAATGATATCCTTAGACTATGGAATCACTTCCCATAACATAACAATTAAACAGTACTTCACTCGTTAATCATTCAAATACTCTCGACGAGAAGAGTGACAGAGTGAAATGCCTGTGTATGATTTGGTAGGGTGTCGTTTTGTGTTTGAATTGTGTATATCAAGCCGATTTCAAGATATCGTCTCTGAGGTCTCGGTTTTAATTCTTGGTCGACAATTTGGGAAAGGATCTTTGATTTATTTTGCAGGTTTATTTATAGGGTAACCTATCTTACTTGCGAAACTTTAATGTTCGAATTTCAAAACTTCGAAAACGGTATAACGAAGTTTTGAATACCAGATATGTTTTTTTTGTCATAATATTCTATGTAATAAATTTATTATACACATGTTTCATTTTCCAGAAACATTAAAAGACGATTTTCAAAAGCTTTTAACAGATGTATGACTTTCAATATTTTTTTATTCCAGATGTATGAAATATCAAAGTAACCTGTACCATATTTTTACTAACGCAGTTATTTATTTACATTATTTATTATTTATTGACAAAAAAATAGAAAAAACAAATTCGATGCAACATGCATAATCATTATTAATATAACAATCATCATTAAATCCCAATCAATAATTTTGTGCAACAAAATATATTGACAGAAGTGAATCGCTGCAAAACCGACTTCACGTAGTCTTGTCTGCCCTACCCCTAGAGTGCAATTTAATCCCGCGTAGGCGCGGAGGGGCGAGGCGGTCCGCGAGTTGAGGAGCTGGTGGTTTTCAAGCAAGCATGCATGCAAGCAGGCATTCAAGCATACAACATGCATTGTTTCTGTCATGGCTCCGGCGCTGCGAGGCTCCGGCGGTCCCACGCGAGTTTATCGTCGCAGATGATTTTCGCTCGCCGCCGCGGCTGAGGCTGGCCGGCCAGCCGAAGCTGCTTGCATGTCTGCATGCATGCATGCTTGCTTGCATGCATTTCAACCATTGAAAAATTAGATTGTTAATATTTTTCGGTTAGGCGTTAGCGTGTATGTAAACTTGATGTATTATAAGTATTAGTTATTTATAGTTATTTGTCGTTTAATAATATAGAAAACAATTTTCTGGAAATTAAATCGTCTAAGATATGTATATTTATCAAAGGTTGAGTAAGATTTAAAAACGTATTGATTTAAAAAATATTTATATTTGAAAATCGGATTATCAGCTATATGTCATCTGTTTTTTCGGTGAAATGAAAAAACAGATGAGGCAAAACGTTTTCGATTTAATGAAATTCGCATTGAAAAAATTCGATATTAAAATAGGTAACCCATTTATAGTTATCTAACCAACCATATTTGGTTTGTAAAAAGAGTCTGATGTTATATGGTTGACCACCAATCGCACTAGCGTACACAAAATCTTATGCCGCTGCACTTACAAAAGATCTCTTACAAAATTCCTTAATCGGATTTGAGCCTTACATTAATTATTTTGAGTTAAAAATTAGTAACAATCATTTGTCCTTTATGAATGTATATAAGAGATGTTTTTATTTCGACGTAACACTAAAAAATCTTACTGAATATAATGCCTACTGAATATATTACATTTAATTTAGTGAGTCTGTTAATGTTATATTTAACATCAACAGACTCACTAAGTTCTGCAGCATTTGCTGTTAAAGAAATTAGACTCTTGACAAAAGTTGAAACGACAATATTGGTATAATTTAGTTATTTTCATAGTGTAATGACGTATGGTCTATTGTTGTGAGGTTCTGCGGCTAGCATTCAAGATATTTTTATTCTACAAAAGAGAGCTGTCCGCGCTATATATAATTTACGGTCTAGGGAATCTCTCAGAGAAATATTTAAAGAAATAAATATTTTGACTGTTGCCTCTCAATACATCTAAGAAAATATAATGTACGCAAGAAAACAATTCCATTCCTTCACAAAAAAAGTAGTGTTCATAATCTTAAAACAAGAAATAAAAATAAACTTGCCGTTCCAGGCTTCAGACTTCAGAAAACCAGAGGATCATTTCTGGGTGAATGCATTGCTATGTTCAATAAAGTTCCACAATGTAATTGACATACCCGTTAATAAATTTAAAATTCATATAAAGAACATACTTATGAGTAAAGGCTATTATAAAGTTGATGATTATTTTAAGGACCACAATGCATGAAATTAATAGCCTTTGCTTTGTTCTATAACGATTAATTATATGTACAACCTATGACCTACAGACTTTGAAAGTTTTATTTATTATTGTGATAATACATATTATTTTGGTAATGACATAATTTATGTAAATGTCATTACTTATGATAAAGAGCTGGTAAGTTTTTTTTGCTTGTGCTTCTTGTCAGCTAAATGACGTCCTGAACAAATGGTAGGGGAAAAAAAGATTTTGGATCATTCAAAAGTGCTTGTAACAAGCTTACTTGAATAAAGATGTTTTCATTTCATAAAGTATTGTGTGCCAAAAGCTTAATGATGAAATATCAGATATTGGTAATTGTATCTACACTTGCTTATCCAATACAAACATATATAACATAAATACCGAACAGAGATAAAAATAAGAATAAAACAACTATTATTTCATATATATTTTGCAGTATTTTCCAGGAATAAAGTAAATGTTTAGATGTTTATTGTGACAGATGCAATGTACGCAGATATAATTTTATTGGTGGGAACTTCTTTTAAACCGAAACCGAATAAAAAACAAACATAATATAAAAACAACATTTGTTTTAATTTAAACCAATAAACGTTTCCCAGAAAGTAATTATAAAATCAGTACTAAATTATGAATTAAAGCTTGCAATATCACCCCTGACTACTTTGTCTCCTGCCGAATATTTACCAAATACCGACTATAATGATCTGAAAATTAGGTGAATAAATGTTAGACTACTTACAATTAGTTATAATGGTTTATTTTATGGTCTAAATGGTTATATAATTATAATGTTACTAATGTATAAACAAATAGAAATTTGCAATGTTACAAAATAATCTTTGAACAAATATAAATTACCAAAAACAGAAATAAAAAAAAACAAAACTTTATCCAAGTATAACAACGACATCTATATTCTTGTAAGTAAATAACTAACAAAATTTACATTTTGATAGCATTGATGTTCAACGTGAATAGTGCTTGCGGTTAAGAGGTACTGATACCCTACCTAAGGTACAGGTGGCGTTGCAAACATAAAAAAATTAAATCATTAGAATAAATGAAGTCAAACTACAAAAACTTACAAAAAAAAGTTGCCTACATTTTTATACCATTCAGAGATATCATCTAAAAATATGCTATATGGATTAAAATACAAAAAATATTTTAATAACTCTTTAAATATAAACGGAAAATGTTTATTCATAGATTTGTTATGACAACGGTTGTTATGGCAACAAAACGCTTGTCGTTTAAGCTAGTTGGTACGTCAAAATAAGCGAACTTTTTATGCTTTGTTGTAATTATTAAAATTTACAAACATTCTTGATACGGACAAAGATTTGTATAATGTCGTATAATTACTACGGAAACAGGTCAGATCGTACTACTAAATTAAATTCGTTGAAGGACGTCAAAACCGGTAAGAGTGCAGCGCCCAAAAAAGTGATACAATCTAAGACATTGGGTCAGTGTTCTAGAGGAAAAAGTTGTTCTGCTGGAATAATAATAGAAGACTGGTATCGCAAACCAAGAAAATCCACACAATCCGATATAAATTTCTCCACTAGAAATACTAAAAAATCAATTGACTACTGCAAGAAATGTGGAGACCAAGTGCAAAGCAGTAGTAAAAGTTCTAATTCTGATAAATCGCAAAGTCGAAAATCAAATAACGTTAAAATAGAATCATTAAATGCACCCAGAGTGATTAACAAAACTAAACATCGAATAGATGGTTTCAATTTGAAACTGAATGGTAATCACATTAAAAACAATGGGGTGAAGCAATATTACAAAAATGAAAACTTTAAATCTACAATTTCTTTACAAGATACTGAAGCTGAGTTGAGGAAAATGTCTTTAGATACCATAAAAGAGCTCCCAGAGTTCCATACTATTACTGAAAGTGGGGTTAACATTTATAACGTACTGTCTGATAGTGAAGAAGAAATAGGTTTTTTAGATACAAATAAAGTCGATAACGTAGACGAATTAAAGAAATTCAGAGAGGACAATTACTTTGAGTGTCATTCTGTGAAGTCAAGAATCGATAATAAGGGAAGTGTCACGAGTCTTGTTGATCATAAATGCGTTTATCGATTTTATTTGAATGATCGTCTGTTTCCTGTTCCTGTGAGCACAGATCATCATGACAATGTGAGATGCGTGGAATGTCATTTGCCTATAACTTTAAAGATGGACAACGATGAAGGAAATGGCACTATTCAGGCCAAAGTAAATCTAGGCGATGACAAAGTGCAAGATATGATATTGTTTTTACCGGTTAAAAAATCTTTGATGATTAAAGAGAGACGAAAACAAATCAAGACAGAAGAGGAGGTATTGTATTTTGGTGTGATAAAGTTGGATGCTTATGGAAATTCCGTGTTCAATTCTACTCTGCCTGGTGATTCTTTGGCTTTGAAGTATCAGAAAGGTTATCAAGAGCATAGAAACGATCAAAGTTATAAATATAATGGTATAGAAGAAGATGACGTTATTGTGATTTAGTATTAGGGTGGTTTTATATTGAAGAGAAGAGAAAAAGGTTGAAAATTGTCCAATAAAGATCCTTTATAGTAAATAATAATAATAAACAAGCCATGTTGTTTTTTAATTTAAAACTATCACCTATATTCTCAAAATAAATGGGTTTTAAAAACATAATTTTATTTAAATTTCATTAAGATACTTTAAGATGAAACTATGAAAAAAAGGAATCACTGTAATTAAGTCATTAAATTATTCTTTACAATTTAATTGTTTGTTCATCATCACCAGCCTATTAATATACCCACTACTGGGTACTCAGGCTTTCCATGTGTAGATGAAATCGAATCAAAATCGAATAGAGAGAATGGTCCATTACCACTCGGCCCCAGTGCAGATTTTTGGTTGTTAACAACTACAGATGCAGCTGGGACCAACGGCCTTCCATAAAGGAGGGAAGAGCTTGAGATAACATTTTTTTGGTTACCCATCCTATATTTGGTTCCTTGCCAAAGTTGCTTAACAACTGAATCCCAAACCGAGCGAGCTAACCACTACGCCATCGAGCTCTTCAATATTAGTTAGCAATATCTTACTCTTGTAAATTGAATTGGAAAACAATAATCCACCTTATAACACACGGCTAATAGTTCTTCGTTAGGTCGACAGAGCGTTAGCTACTCGTCTCGAAATTTGAGCAATGTGTGTTAATATTTAATTTATTTACTTGCTTCTTTTTACATTTATTATATTAAGAACATTTATACTAAGAACATTTATTATACAATAGAACACGTAAAAAACTTCTAGGATTCTTTGTAAATAATAGAAATTATAAAAAAAAATATGAATTATTATAAAAAATGCCAATTAAAAAGGGCATGCTTTTTTAACTGGTATTTTTTAATTTATTTTCTTGTTACTGATTATTAGTTTATAAGTAATTAAAATAAAATGCGCAGCGAAAACCAACCAATATGAGGTAAGACGATCTTTACAAAGCTTACAGAGAGCAATTTACAATGATTAGATTTAAATAAAAAGAAATGCCTACTTGTTAGGAAAGTTTATTGTAATGTATCTGTTTACAAAGCAAATAAGAATGCCTGGTGTTCCAGCTAATTTGATTAGATTACTTCTATACTCGATATATTTCAAAACTAGCAGTAACCATCTTAATACAATAGTCCAGTTGGTCTTCTTTCTATTTTAATGCACAGTATTTCTATTTAAAAAAATGCTTTCTTTGAAAAATTTGTCCTTTAACATTATCAGAATAGTTTAGCTTATCCCGGGTGCATCATTGACACTCATCAAAACGTAGTTGCTCCTACTACTAGATACCAGAAAAGGCCTGTGTTAAGCATATTTAAAAAGTTTAATTTAATACACATTTCATCATCATCACCATCATATTAATGTTCCCATCGCTGAGGCTCATGCCCTTATAATAAGAATCGAAAAGGAAGATTGGGCCATGAGCCACCACGCGGGCACAGTGATGAGTATTAACGACTGCAAATACTGCCGTTACCAATGACTTAACGTGCCTTCTGAAGCACAGAGCTCGATATAATACATTTTTGGTGCCCCATCCATTACCAGCCATTGCGAAAATTCCTTAAATTACTGTATCGCAGACCAAGCGAGTTGGCAACTACACCATCCAGATCCTCACACAACACACATTTAATAGTTTAAACGTAAAATAAAATATGATGGTATAAAATTGAAAAACAATCCTCTAACCATATTATCGCCATCTGGTCCACCATCTATCGTTAAAATCAAGTCAAACATGACTTGTCTTTGCAAATATCCAAAATAAATCAAATCTTACAGCGCACACGATCCGTCCTACCAGCCTCCACATCTATTGCACATCGATGCAAAAGCATAAATAAGCCGCGATGTCTGCGCACGCGCCAGTCAACTGACGTTCACTTGTGTTGTGGCATACGTATCAGTGAGATGAGGAACTGTATATTGATATTTGTTGTGACCCTATGTGGAGTGCGGGCAGACAACAGTCTTCGTAAGTGCTATTTATATATATTTAAGATATCTTTAAAGAAAATGTTAAATTATGCTTGACCTAAAACATAGAAACAAAACTTATGAAGAAAACTCTTACTTTTTCACCAAATATGTTCTAATATTATACAAATCATTAGTTTTATATTACTTAAAAAAATCAAATTATTTAACAAAATATTGGTGATTAAATAATGATGAACGAATCAATTTTTATAAAACCAAATTTCATATTTTCTAGTTAAATAACTTAAGACAATATTGTTGAGTTTGTTATAAGTTTTTAAAAACACACGAAATCGAATTCGTGTCTATTTAAAAACATAACATTTTTTACAGGTTCCATGTTCAGAAACGTTAGATTTATATATTTTTAGAGTAACAGTAATTTTGAATACTGTATCAATTATTGTTTGCTTAGTAACCCAGTTATAAATATGTTTTATATGTTACAGAATTATAGACAGACAACATATAAGTTACAGAATTATATGTTAAAGTATTATTTGTTTATTACCAAACCGAGTGCCGGAATTACGGCATTTATTTGTACTCAATGTAAAACTTTATCAAGTATTATTCGTGTATACAAGTCGTTTGATTTACTAATGAGTATTTTAAGGAAACAACATTTAATATGCGCTTTAAATATTAAGGAATCCATAACGCCACGCCTTTTCTAATTTTATTGCGTTTCAACTAACGTGATGCAAGGACTTTTAAATATATACAGCGTAGTCCAGACAGCGATGTCAATTTTTTTTTTAAATTGCTCCCCCCTAATGTACCCGAAAACCCCCCATACTTTCGTACGCAACATTTTTAACTTTTTTTTCTCAGTATTCTACAACTAAGCAATAATGTAATAATTCAATTTTAAAATTCTAGTGCCTACAAACACTAATTACTGACACCAAGGATCAAAGAAATGATAATTTGAAAAATGATGAAATTTTCACCCCGCTACATTTATAGGCCGATTACAGGAAATAATAGCCCCATTACCAATGACTTTTATGTACTTTGCAGAAAGCTTAGAGTCTAGTGAAGTTTTTAGAAGCTATGAAACTTACCTTAACTATTTTTAATTTAAAGCTGAAAATTTAACTCTTGCTCACTGAAATGTAATTTATTCACTTTTGATCAAAATTATCGTAACATGCAGCAATGCTAGGGGGTTAACTGTTATGCATGTGAAAAAGCCGTTTATTAAGATTATGTTTTAGAAAAAAAAAAATCATAAAAAAAGCCATTAGGTTTTTATTTTTTAAGTAAATACTATCGAAATTTGCTATGAAATCATAAAAATAATCATATCACGAAAACTACAAAACATCGCGGAAAATACATGGCACCCCTAGGTGGGAGCAATTAAAAAAAAATTTTTTTTTGACGTCGCCGTCTGGACCAACCTGTATGTTTAGTATTATTATTCTATGATATGAGTTCTGTGCAGTTCCATATAGATCCGCAGTCAGAGCTAAAAGATCTACAGTAACTTTAAGCCTCTTATAAGTCTTCTTATAAGTTTTAAATATTTTAACTCTTTTGGACAGATTGTATTGTCACAACTTTGTCTTTATTTTTCACACATATTTTTTTTGTATTTACACTCTTGTTTGCAATGGCAATGCCCCTCACACATATAATAAAAGTCAGTGGGGGAATAAATTTATTTAAAAAGAAACTGCGTGATTTTTTGTGTGATCGGTTTCTTTGATTGTGTGTAGTTTTAAGATAAGACAATATTATAATAAAAAAATGCATGAACTACACAGCAAAAACATAAAATATTGTACACCTATGAGATAAAGCTCAGTGGATATACTATATTATTTTTAATAACGTATTGATCTACTTAACCTGTGTTTCATAATAAAATTATTTCATTTTTTTTAAATTTCTTCAAGTGTCAGTATCCTCTAAATTCGTGTGAAATTGGTGACTGTTTAATTTGCAGTGCCCGTAGAGACATTTTATTTCTATCTATCTACCTACCACAGATTATGCATGCATATTTACTTAATATTTTATATGAACATTATTTACAAAACAAACATATTTTTATTTATATTCAAAAACCCAAAATAGGCGTGGTTATTTTTTTATGTAAAAATACAAATAAGTACCAGATGCGCATACACATCAAACTTTTCTAACAAACCAAATATCGTAAGTACATAACAAACTTAGATCACTTTTTATTTATATTTTAATATACACATTTTTAAAATTTTCATTTGCATAATTCAATGATGACCTATGCGGGTTAATATCATTGAGCGATTTCCAACGAACGATCAATAAAAATGAGACAGAATAATCGCCTGGACCCTGCATGCTGATCCCATTTTCCAATGTTAATGTTCCATTAGTCTTTATCCCGCCTTTGAGTAGTGCTCGCACGCTGTAACTTTATATATCGATTAACAAGAAATAAAAAAAGTATACCACCAAATATCGTTTAATGAAATGAGCCAGAAAAATCGACACAGCGGTTTCCTTTTTTATTTTTTCAAATGTAATAAATGTATATATTTTTATTATAATATAATATAAATAAACATTATATTTTAATTGTATAAATGGCCGTTACCAATGCCGGTGTAACCCGGTCGAAACGTCGGGAAATATAAGTAAGTGAAGCACCTCACCATCAATCTATCGCGTTAATAAACCCGTTTCATATAATCTTATAATATAAATAGCCCATAAATACTCCATGCATTTGCTCAAATTGCTGAGCGTCTCAAAAATTATAAAGGCATTTATCCAACTTGTTTATAATCTTACTTGACTTATCACTAACAAAGTAACAGGAATTATTGGACTTGATATTGGCTTACAAGATGTTCAGAAACACAAGAGACAGTGCGCAGTTGCTAGTTAAATTAAAATTCAAAGTCTCGCGTAACTATCAGCGTAAGGTCAACACATCACAGACTGGCCTGTTATACTGGAGTCTTAAGCTAATCTTAATTAAAAATCTGCCAGTAAGCATCCACTTTTATATCATAATCATTAGCTTATCAATCACGCCTCGCAAATAAATACAAACAAATATTTTCTATGCAAAAATTGTCTTTTTTATTAAAGTGTTGTTCTACGCCTGATTTTCATAACGACTTGATCGTCAGCTTGTTCTTGCTTGTATTTTAGAGATTTTATGACGTGACGTGAGTGAAATTTTGTCAACGGATATTGTGCCATCTCTTAAATTTGTAGATGTCTAACGTAGGTTTATAATTTCGTCTACTCAGTATTTTTTTCATCCAATTTATTATTTAACTCTAATACTTTGAATTTTAGTAGCTATTTTATGTACTTAGGTTGATCAGACTCTTAAATAATTACAGTGATAAATCATTTGTTTGTAACACCGTAAATTAATGCTAAAAAGTTGTGTCCACCTTTAATTTGTTTGAACAGTTGGTTATTTTAGTGTTTATAAAAACTATTGTCTGTTTATTGTAGCAAACGTTAGTATTTGACCGCGCAAAAGGTACAGCCAAAAGTAAGGGTTCTCTGCCTTTTT